TAGCATGGGTATTAAGCAGAGCTAAATATAGATATCCACAAAACTTAGGGTTGCTAGTGGAGCAGAAAGTGAGGAGGGAAAACTGAGTTTCAATGGCTTACTCTGAATCGGTTCATGACAACCTAGATAGAAGAGGCTGCGTATCTCTATTAAGGCATAATAAAGCAGGAATTTTACTTAGCTAATCCTAAAGAGTTTCTGCTGTAGATTTTGGGGATCATTTTCCTCTTCCAGAGCTCCAAACAGGAAAAAGCAGCAAATTACATTGGAGTGGTCAAAATGTTAGTCAACATTTTGTTCAGGGAAAGTATTTTTGTAACAACCTAAAATTTTCACAAATTATTTCTTTGTAAGGCGGTTCAATATTTTGAAGGGAAAAATTATTCATTCTTTTTGGTTTGAAGATTCAGATAAAAAAAGGTTTTGGTTTTGTTTCAAAAATCTCCAAAAGCTTGGGATAAGGGTTTGGGGTTCTTCTTCCCCTATTTTCTCTCTCGCACCCGCCTCAAGGCGGAAAATGTTTTTAAGAAGGGGAGAACAACAAAAACTTAATTAACCCCCAAAATGTTTTGAGTTTTCAAATGTGAAATTTTCAAATTTTGAACAAAGGAAAAATCTTAATTTCACCTTTTTTTTTATTGAAAACAGTCTTTTAACAACCCCCAATACAATGTCAAATAAATAAAATAGTTTTATTTGAACATGCTGGAACGGAAAATGTTTTTAAGAAGGGGAGAACAACAAAAACTTAATTAACCCCCAAAATGTTTTGAGTTTTCAAATGTGAAATTTTCAAATTTTGAACAAAGGAAAAATCTTAATTTCACCTTTTTTTTTATTGAAAACAGTCTTTTAACAACCCCCAATACAATGTCAAATAAATAAAATAGTTTTATTTGAACATGCTGGAATCTGTTCTTAGCCTCATGCTATTCAATATCTCTTATCATTGATCTAAAACAAAGCATAAAATGACACAAATTGGTGTAATGATAGATGAACAGAGCTTAGTGACATTTTTGACAAACTTTTTTTCAGGGAAAAATGCAAATATGGCAACACTAAACCATTTTGCAAATTTATGTTGATATTTGCCAAATGATTTAGGTTGGGGGAAAAAATGGTCAGAAAATAAAAAATAATTCAAACTTGGTTTCTAAATTTCCTTTCATTTCAATTTAAAAATGCTTAAAATGGAAATGTGTTTTGAGGGGTCAAAATGTTTTAATTCAACCCAAAACAGAAAAACTGTTGTTGAGCTAGTTTTATAAATGACAGGTCAGTTGGATTGTATCTCAAGCTGCATGAATCTGAATATGTATATGCATGTATATACAAACATATGCATCCATAAACAAAGAATATAGGTTATGCAGGCAGGGAGATAGTAACACAGAAATGGAATTAGGGGTCATGTAGATGCGTTTGGAGTTAAACAAATTCAGAGTAGAAATAAAGCACATTTTTTTTATCCATGAGGGTAAGGAATAATTGTAACAACTCACCTAGGGATGTGGTTGACTCTCCATCACATAAACCTTTAAACCAGGACTGATTTATCTTTCTAAAAGATGTGTCCTAGGTCAACCAGCAGTTACAGGCTTCATAAAGAAATCACTAGTGAAATTCTGTGGCCTCTCATTAAGCAGGAGGGCAGACTCGATTATATTAATGATACTTCTGGCCTTCATGTTTATGATCTACAAGAATTCCACATGATAAAGCAAGCTCCCACATTTACTAGAAGTGTTTTCGTCTCTCAAAGAGGTTTCTTTTTATCCAGAAGGGATGTCACAGTCAAGGATTTGGGGTTTTTTGTTTTGGTTTTGGTTGGTCTATCACTGACTTATCTTTTTAATTAAACGTGAAAAGGGGTGTCTCGCTGCAAGCTGTTGGCATCCAGTATATATATTTTTTTATCAGAAACAGAAAACATTCCTGAATCCTTTTTTTTTCTTGGGGAACTCAACCAACCTCAATCCTTCTCAGTTATCACCATCTGCAGTATAGACTGCTCTTACTCCTACATGAGTATAACTACATCAGAGAAATAAAAGGGAGGCTGCGCCTGAAATCAATCTTTAGACTGAAACATTTTACTCTATTTTCAGAAATAAACTTGGCACAGACCCAAAGCAAAGCCTCTAGTACAAGATGTGGTGCAACTGTATACACTTCTGGTTGCATCTCATACATTCCTATCTCTAGCATTCCTGTTCTCTTTAGCAATCTGGTGCAGGAGTTAATCATTTTATTCCAAGCTGCAAGTCAACTTGCCCCCTGGCTGGGTTCCCAGTTCATCTCCATTTTGTTCCTGGGCTGCAGCCAGTGAGCTTTTAGTGGAGATATTGTTTCCCTAATTCCTATCCTCATGTCCTATCATAAATCTACGTCAGAAAAGCTGCCCTCCTTCTCCCAACACACTTATTATTTTATTCACATCTAACAGAATCTAGTGTAAACAAAACATTTGCATTTTTGCATTTAAAATATATTAAAAACTCAAATAATCTGTATACAGAAACTAGAATTTGGAATAAGTATTTTACCATTCAGATAATATTAGAATGCGAACCATTTAAAATATCCTCCATTCTGTATGTAAAATCCACTCAAGGGTTCTTTTTAAATGACTTGATCAAGCACCAGATGTGATCACAGGGATATGGTTTAACTGGTAGGTGAAAAAGAGTGTTCTCTCTTTTAAGGATGAGAGTCAAATACTGTAATCATGTGTCTCTTAAACATGCTTAAGTCTATTAATGCTGTATGTCTTTTCCACATAGCCCAATACTAAAACGAAGCCCTGACATCACCAAATCACCATTAACAAAGTCAGAACAGCTTCTGAGAATAGATGACCATGATTTCAGCATGAGACCAGGTTTTGGAGGTATGAAAAACATACATCTCATTCTTTTTTTCTCTCTCTCTGTAAGAAATACTGTACTGTACTGCACAGTGTCTCACTGCTGAGTGGATTGACACGACAGAGATTGGAAAGAGCTGCTAGCTGTGAAAGGTCATCCTTGTTTCTGTTTTGAATTTACAGCATGGCACAGCATGCCTGAGGAGGCTTGCAACAATATGGCCTTCCTCTGGATCTACGATCACCAAATAAATTTCAGCAAAACCATGAGAACTCAGAGATGTCATTTATGGATTTTTAAATACTCCTCTGAACCTTTGACTGGTAAAAATGTATCCAAGTTCAGTTAGCATTTATTCCTAGATTACTATGGAATCCTAAAGTTGCATCTCACTGTGGCAATGCTTTGTGTAATCAACTAATGTACAATACTTGCTGACCTGGCCTTTTTTTATTTTAATCTAGGAGACTATTTTGACTACTTTGTGTTAATGTTTTGCTCACAGTCTTGCAGTCACATGCAACAGCAAACCAAGCTTTTAGAGCAAAGGATTAAGGAGAATGGGCTTTCTTATGACCCGCTGGATTAAAGAATGTTGTAATTTATCTACCCTTCCTGGCTGACAGATGGTCATTCAAATCCAGGATGCCATTATACATCCTGATGGGAGAAGCTTTTATTACTAAATGCTCAATATACACAATACAGCATGTTCAGTACATTTTAAAATAGTGTCAGTTTCAGGGCAGTTCATTAATATTGTCATTATTGATTACAATAAATATTTTGTACTGTAATTGTCAAAGATACACATACAGTAGCTGGTCAAAGTCTGGAGGAGAAGGAGGAAGTACAGCAGTAAATCTATAAAAAAAAGTCTACGTATACATTCTAACACATCCTTATTAAATGCCAGACATCTAAAAACCAGACGTGTTTGGTACTAGTTGACATGACTGTTAGCAGTGTGAGAGGAGATGACAAGTACTAACATATGGTACGGGCAGCCCATCACTAAATTTGCTGCTACCCATCCAATACCTATTCTGTATATTAAAAGGATGCTCTCCAGGGCTGGAAGACTGCCAGGACTTAGCAGAAAGGAAAATTGTAAGACTGCATGCTTCGTAGTCAGTTTAAGTGCTTATTTTTAGCACAATCCACTGGCCATTTAGCAGGCACAGGAGTGTATTAACATGACTGTCCTGTGACTCCTTGCAATGTGTTACACACTTTCCTGTCACTATCTTGAGTTCTTTAGCGGTTGGTCTCTTCTATCATATTTGTATTGCATAACTAAATAGCACCTATACTCCACTCTGCGGGGCTTTGGGTGGGGATGTTACACATAGTAGCTACATCTAGACTGCTTCCCTCTGTCAACAGAGGGATATAAATCAAGCGCATCGAAATTGCTAATGAAGCAGGGATTTAAATATCCTGTGCCTCATTAGCATAAACATGGCCACTGCTTTTTTTTCAAAATGGAGTTTTTTCTAAAAAAAAAATGGCAGTCTAGATGTGGATCTGTTGAAAATAAAGCCTTTTTCGACAGATCCTGTATTCCTCAAAAAATGAGATTTACAGGATCTGTCAAAAAAGGCTTTATTTTTGACAAATCCAGTCTAGGCTGCCGTTTTTTTCAAAAAAACTCCATTTTGAAAAAAAGCGGCAGCCATGTTTATGCTAATGAGGCATGGGATATTTAAATCCCTACTTCATTAGCAATTTCGATGTGCCTAATCTACATCGCTCTGTCGACAGAGAGGTATAGTCTAGACATACCCACTAGTGACTAATCTTGTTCAGGTCCGAGTATGATGGTAACACACAACAGCTTTCTCAGAGCATAGCTCCCATCTGCTTCCATGAGCTGCTCTGGAATGGTTGCTTGATATCCTCTTCCTGATTCTTCACCCATTTTTCCCTTTTGATTATTCAGAAGGTTTGTAGAATGGGGACAGCAGAGAAGCCTGGTCCTTTCCCGCCCCCCATTAATGAATAGATATTTTTCTGGACACCAGCTGCAGGATCCACAATGGGACTTAGGTGTTGTAATGCTGAGCATCACAATACCTGACTTTGGTACCTAGAAAATCAGAGGAACAGCACTATGATTCACAAGGAATAGGCAAAGACAGGCACTAAGCCTGTGATCCAAAAAGCCAGCGCACTGGGCGGGGAGCTGTCTAAGCCAGCCAATGGGAGATGCTGGCAGCAGAGTGGTGTGCTATGCTTTTTCTCTCTCGTGGAAATGAGTGTCTAAGTCCTGGCTGCAGATTAGCATCTAGCTTCATTTAGTGACCCACAAATAGGAATCTGCAGTCTGGAGTCAAGTGCCTGAGGGAACGAGTTAGGTCTTAATCCTCACAAAAAGAAAATGAGCTAGTGCCACCTCTAACCCAATTTATAACATTTACCTCAGTGACTGGAGCATGGCCTGGGATCTTGGAGACCAAGGTTCAGACTTGCTCCTCCGCCAGAAGGGAAGAAAAGATTGGACAAGGGTCTCCCACCTCATGGGAGAAAGTGCCAACTACTAAGCTATGGGATAGTCATGTGGCGCTCCCTCAGTCTCTCTTGCTGAAACTGTTCTGCTGGAGAAATAATGAGATTGTAACAGTGAGGACTAGACGATCCCAGGTCTCCCACTTCCCAGATGGGTGCCTTGCCCACTGGCTTCCAACAGCCATTCTCATGTGCTCTCTTTCTCTCGTGTCCAATGATTATTTAAGTATGTCCTCACAGTCATTGGGTTGAAGAGAGAATGTGTGTGGAAATGTCTCTGTAGTCCAGTGTTTGGCACACCCATTTGGAAATGAGAAACTTCAAGTCTCCCCCTGCCTCCCCGCTACAATCATTCCATTATCATGATGCAAAACCCTAAGGCTTCGTCTTCATTTCCAGTTCTTCCAGCAGAAAATATGCCAATGAGGGATTCATTAGCATAAGTCATGATCTCATTAGCATATTTTCTGCTGGAAGAGCTGGCAGTGAAGACATAGCCTAAGAGGAGATTTGCTGGATTGGGCCCTGAATGGGATATGTGTTCAACTGTCTGTCTGCCTCTGAGTTTAGGCAGGAGATAGACATCCTGGTATCTAGAGAGAGGCAGCAGGGAGTATAGCCTGAGGCTCAAACATAGGTGCTCATGAAATTTTTAGAAAACAAAAAAGAGACGCCAAGTAAATTTAGGTGCTTAGAGCATTCAGCAATTTTGTGCATTGCAATAGGATCCTCAAACTGGGATTTTAGGTGCCTAAAACAGGCCTAACTTCTTCTGTGTAATGCCATACCCATAGCCCTCTATGTTATTTAATTGACTTGTGAAATCTTAGATTCTGAGCAATGTTCCCTTCAATCTTTTCCATCCATGTGCAGAATCATTTTTTATGTCCACCAGTAGAAAGAAAAACCTAGCTGTGGGCACTCTGCTAATCAGCTGGGTGGCATTTGAATCTCTCCTGAGTGGCTGCACATGCACACAACTTACAAGGAACAAAGATTCCGAGCCCTGTAAAACAATTCCTTCTGCTTAGCTGACTCCTTAACAACTAGTCTTAACAACCACTAGGAGTGAGTCATTTCTGCATGACATTTTATTTTAGGTACCCTAATTTTTCTTAGGACTTCTCTACACACATTTTTTGTACCACTTCAGCTACACAATTTAGGAACTAAAATAATTAAATCACTGCAACCCCTTCTATTGAAACAGCTAGGTATTTATATTGGGTATAGTGTATTTAGGTACAAGTTGGACCACTTGATCTGGCACACTTGGGACCTGACCAGTCCTGAATGAGGGATTTTTCCAGACCAAAGGAGGTCATATCTGGCCCCCCTGCTACTGCCCGCCCCCCCCCAGCCCTGAATCGGCCACTAGCCTCCTGGTCACCGCCCCCGCCAGTCCCAATGCCCTGCCAGTCTCCCGTCCCTTCCCTGCTAAGCCAGGCAGCTCAACTCCCTGCGCACTGGGATCCTGGCTATGCCTGGCACCTCATTGCAGTGTGCTGGGCTCCTGGCCCCACTGGGCAGCCCCACTGAAGTGTGCTGGGCTCCTGGATGCAACGGGCAGCCCTTCTGGGTTGTACCTAGCAGCCCAGCTGTGGCGAGCCCAGCCGCCAGCCTTTCACTCATTACAACATCTGCGGACCTGCCAGACCAGGAAGTCCTGGTTAACAGAGGTTCAACCTGTATATGAAAAAACCTATATTATTGTACGCACCATTATATTGGTGTAACTGCATCCACACTAGGCAGTTGACTTATTTTAACTATGTGTTTTTGAACCAATAAAGTTAAATTGGTAAAACAACTGTATAGGGACCAGCTGTTAAATGCAAGTTTCAGTCAGCTAGAGAGGTCTGATAGAGTGGCATTTAATTGCCATGTACATTTCACTGAAGACTTTAATACCGCTCATTTAAATTTAGAATTTAAGTCCCGTCCATTCTCAAACTCCCTGTGTGGGCTAGTCCTGTGAGTGTGCACAGCAATGTGCTCAGGGCTTCCTGAGGCAATACTGTCATGCAGACTGGTATTATGACTGCTGTGATCTAAAACGGCTTTTGGCCATCGGACATTTTGTATCATCATTTGGGCCTTAATGACAAGCACCGTCCTATTTTTGCCACAGGGGCACCTCTGTTGTCAAGTGGAATAATGCTCCAAATACAGCCTTCTGCTGCCCTAAAATCCTTGAAAAGAAATAACAGAAATTGGCCCAAGAAAGAGCAACCTTGTCTTGCTCAGATTCTGGGACCCACACAGCTACATCACTGCAAACCAAGACTGGCAATGCAGTTTGTTTCCCACTGTTTGAAAGAAGAGGCTTTTCCTTTGCAGGTCAGGGACAAATTGTAAAGGAATAATTAGTTTTTCCTTCACAGATTAGCTGTATTGTTTATTGTTTAGTTCATAATTAATACAGTATTAATTAAATTATGAAACAGCACTAATACCAGCATAGCTCTGAATTAACTCCTGGATAAAATTATATATAATTTTCTGTCAGTTCCATTTGATTATGCAACACAGACGTACATCTGTGTGGGAAGTTATTAAAACATAATTCAGTACTACCCAGACATTTAATTATCTCATGATAAATTAACTCTGCTCCCTAGAGAGGACTAGCCTCTGAGCAAAAAGTGAAGAACACCCAATCCTAGAGCAATAAGTGAAATGGATACAAAAAAGGTGATGGTTGCATAATAATAGACACACAGGCTGCGTCTAGACTCATCTGTGTGGGAAGTTATTAAAACATAATTCAGTACTACCCAGACATTTAATTATCTCATGATAAATTAACTCTGCTCCCTAGAGAGGACTAGCCTCTGAGCAAAAAGTGAAGAACACCCAATCCTAGAGCAATAAGTGAAATGGATACAAAAAAGGTGATGGTTGCATAATAATAGACACACAGGCTGCGTCTAGACTGGCAAGTTTTCCCGCAAAAGTGCCTGCTTTTGTGGAAAAACTTGCCAGCAGTTTACACTGACCGCTTTGAATTTGCGCAAGAACACTGATGATCTAATGTAAGATTGTCAGTGTTCTTCTGCAAATACAATGACTCTCCCATTCGGGAAAAAGCCCTCTTGCGCAAATGCTTTTGCGCAAGAAGGCCAGTGTAGACCGCTGAGAACCGTTTTGCGCAAAAAAGCCCCGATGGCGAAAATGGCGATCGGGGCTTTCTTGCGCAAAACCGCGTCTAGATTGGCATGGACGCTTTTCACTTTGTGGCTACATCTAGACTGGCATGATTTTCCACAAATGCTTTTAACGGAAAAACTTTTCCGTTAAAAGCATTTGTGGAAAATCATGCCAGTCTAGATGTAGCCACAAAGTAATATTTTGCTTTACTGTTGCATTTTCCATTTGAGAATCTTAAATGTGACATGAACATTAATGTTTGAGATCCTGCTCTAAAACCCAGTAAGTCACTGAGAGTCTTTCAGCTGACTTTAATGGGTTTTGGATAAGGCCCAAAGTCTCCCAACATGCCTGTGAAGTAGGTAGATACCATCTTGATTTTGAACTAGCAGTGAGGAGGTAGAGGAACAAATTTCCTCACTTTCACTCCTGGGCTTCAGCTTCTCAACCATCCTTTGTCTTCTAATCACACCATATCTGTAGCAACAAAAGATTCTGACAAGGTGAAATATGTTTTAAACAATACATTAAGTTTATTCTTCTCCCAAAGTTCCATCTTGCAGTAAATCACTTTTCACTGCTTCACTTTTAAATGCACTCAGTTTCCCTATGAGTGTCACAGGACTCAATCTCAGCTCCTGACATGCTCCTAAGCTATGGCAGACTCTTGTTGGCCGGGTTGAAGGTGGTGATAACCATACTTGAATGAAGATCTTGCACTCTTGCCCCAAGCAACACCAATGCTCCACAATAAAGCAGGAGTAGGAGAGGAATGATGCAAAGCAGACTTAGGAGATGTCTAGAGTATAACTACTACAGCAGCCACACTTTGGTGTAGGCACTCATTACAGCCACAGTTTTTCCCCCATCAGTGTAGTTAATCCTCTTCCCCAAGAGCTGGTAGCTAGGTCCTCAGAAGAATTCTACCATCCACCTATCTCTGTCTATTCTGGAGATGAGGTTGTCTTAACAGTGTTACTAAGATATGTGGATTTTTCACACCACTGAGTGATGTAGCTGGGAAGAAATAGCTTTTTAGCTTCAAGCATTAATTTGTAGCATCAAAATACACATTTTTTAAAAATATTTTCTTTTTTTGCAGGTCCTGCAATTCCTGTGGGAGTAGATGTACAAGTTGAGAGTTTGGATAGTATTTCAGAGGTGGATATGGTAAGTGTCTGTCTGATGACTGATGTAAATAATCTCAAACTACTATTCCAGCACTGTAATATCAGGAGGAACAGAAGAATGAATGACAGCTAAGATTTGCTCTTTTTTATAGAACATTGTGATGGAGGTTGGTGATTAGAAACTCTACTAGCTATAACTATAGGCACATCATCTTTATAGTACAGCTCTTGATCATGAGGCAGCACCGTAGTGAGAACCTGTAATTTCCATGTACCACATCATGCAGGTTATCCACTGGGAAAGAGATCGGAATAGAAAGATTGTGTGTGAAGATGCAGCTTATCTAGAATCTGCCTTCTTAGGGGTGATATTCAGTGGAGGGCCAACAGAAGGCCTGTGCCCCATTTAGATCCCTCTTAATTCTTTAAAATAAGGCTTCTGCTGGAGGTAAGAGGTGCACAGGACCTGTGCTGTCTGGCTGCATAGGCTTTAATTATATTCTAGTCTCTGAACCTTTGAATTTCCACCCACTGTCTACAGGGAGTTAAGTTAATTCTGCGTGTTTTAAAGCTTTACAAAATTGCTGTGGAGTTATGTGCAATTTGCCCTGGCTGTTCACTTTTCACCACAAATTACTCTTGAAAATTAGGGGATTTTCTGAGGAGTTATTTTAAATAAAAGATACATACTGATACACTATCAGGACAATGTAAGACAAAAGTCAGTAAAAACCAGAATTAGAGATGGGTCCAAACTGCAATAGGGCCCAGTTTTGCTCTGAATGACCTCAGTGGTAGAACCCCCATTGCCAGTCATGGAAAAGGATGAGTCCAGTGTCAGCAAATTTTGATGTTGCCATCACATGACATGTATTTTTTGAAAAGCAGAGTTTCAATCAAGAGGGATGCTTCATCCATCTGGGTTGACAGAAAGAGAATAATCCAATTTAATAGAATTTCTTATGCTTCAGGATTTCTGATTCTTATGAAGGGGTTGTGTGGGTTGCTGTTTTTTTAAAATAAGTTGTGTAGCTTTCTCTCCAGCTGCAGCATTGCACTCTCACTATATTTGTTGGTGAGATTAAAGCCCTTGTTCTTGGAATCTAATAATAATAATAAGCTCAGTTTTCATTTTTCTAAAAAAGTAAGTTTCTATCTCTCATAGATTATTAGAAATCTTGAATATCTGACCTGAGTGCTGTCTCAAAATCCAAAAAGATAGCAAAAACAGTGGTGCATTTATTCATGCTGTTTTGCAATTTTACTGTAGCCAAGTTGGTCCCAGAGTATTTGAAAGAAAAGGTAAGTAAGTGAGGTCATATCTTTTGCTGGGCCAACTTCTGTAGGTAAAAGAGGGGCTTTAAAGCTTATACAGAGCTCATCTTTGACCTGAGGAGAGCTCCATGTACTTGAAAGCTTGTCTTTCCACCAGCAGAAGTTGGTCCAGTGAAAGATATCTCACTCACTTTGTCTCATACATTTGTTCTGGTTGTTTTTTAACAAATGCCAGGGTTTTTCGAAGACCTGACTCAATATTGAATACTTTGGATTGGCAATGCTGCCACTGTTCCTGAGCCTCCCCTCACATTCATTGGTTCTCTGACAAGGTGGAAAGACTGTTATTTCTGAACACTGATATCCACAGTATGACATTTGATGACAGACTATAACATCAGAATCACTGACATGGTCTAAACATGGGACTGTATTACTATGTGGTCCTATGACACCACAGTAGACAACATGCTACATGTCCAGCCACATGGCAAGATACTTTATAGTTTCAGATAAAAAACCATTCACAGTCAATTTTAGCTATTAGCAAATAATAATGATGGAGTTTAAATTTTATTATTGATTCTTGAATTTTATCTTGTGCAGCTTTACATATAAAAACCCAGAACACTGCAAGAGCAATGTTTTTAATTAGACATCAACCAACTAAACTTTTAGTTTGTACTAGTAAAGTAAGTTTTATTTCTCTCCTGCATTCAGTTTTTTTTGTTAGTTTTATTATAAAGTGGTAAAAAAAAGAAGACATTTTGAAACTCTTTAGAATGACACAGTTCAGAGGTTTTGTCCAATTCAATCCATATTGTGCAGGGGAGAAAAACTACACTGGTTCCCAATTTAAAGACTAAGGGTATGTCTAGACTACAAAGCTTTTCCAGGATACCAGACTAAGAAACTCTGCATGTAACAGTATATATTTTAGAAATGGATTTTCAGTTTGGAGGGTCTTTGATTTCTGAACTACATAAGATCCTTTACACTAATAAAAAGTCGACAACAGTTAATCCATCTCCAGCTGTTTAAGGAGTGCAAGAGACTTAAGTGGGGCAGGATTGGGTGCATAATTTGTAATTCATAAAGAAGAAAGGAATTCCTGAAAATCACACAGCCTATTGTTTCCAGTTCTGTGCCCCAGACTTTAAGAAAAATGTCAACAAATTGGAGAGAGTTCCAAGTAGAGCAACAAAATTATAAAAGATTCAGGAAACCTGCTCTGTGTGAAAGGTTAAAAAACAGGGCATGTTTAGTCTTGAGAAAAGAAGACTGAGGGAGAAATTGATAACACTCTCCCAATACATTAAGGACTGTTAATAAAGTAGAGGATGATCAACTATTCTCCAGAACCACTTACGGCAGGATAATAAGTAAAGGGCTTAATCTGCAGCCAGGGCAATTTAGGTTAGATATTGAGAAAAACTTGTCTAACTATTATCATAGCTAAGTACCGGAATAGACTTCCAAGGGACGTTGTGGATTCCCCATCATTGGAGGCTTTTAAGAATAGTTTAGACCAGCGGTTCTCAAATTTTTTGGGCTCCGGAGCCCGTTACATGTGTAAACATTTATGCGGAGCCCTAGAGGTCCACTGATTGTATGTGTTGCACCTATCGATGTTTCCAGTTTGTCAACCTCGTGGAACTCCTGGAGATGTCTCAATGAGCCCTGGGGCTCCGTGGAGCACAGTTTGAGAAACACTCGTTTAGACAACCATCTGTCAGGGATGGTCTAGGTATGTGTGGTCCTTCCTCAATGCAGAGGCTGGACTAGGTAATCTCTCAAAGTCCTTTCCAGCTCAACATTTCTATGATTCTATTATTATTTCTTTTTAAATTAGGATGGGCATATGTACATACCACTGCTGCTAAATGTAGTGAAATGTTCTTCCTACAGAATAAATTGTAATGTGAAACCTGCTCTTTCGTTGGTTATTTTCAGGACTTCACCATGACCCTTTATCTGAGACACTACTGGAAAGACGAAAGACTGTCCTTCCCAAGCACCAACAACCAAAGCATGACATTCGATGGCAGGCTAGTGAAAAAAATTTGGGTCCCTGACATGTTCTTTGTACATTCCAAGCGCTCCTTTATCCATGACACCACCACTGACAATGTCATGCTACGGGTCCAGCCAGATGGGAAAGTACTTTATAGCCTCAGGTAAAGTGAAATTCACAGTGTTAGTTATTAGTGAAATGATAGTAAAAGGGATTAAACTGATTCCTGTAATTTACTTTCTAAAGCTTATTATAGAGATAGATATGTGTGTGTATATACAGGCACACAAAAACCAACTGATAAACCAGTGACCATCGCAATAAAGCATTTCAAAATATATCCATTACAGTCTCATAAAGCATTAAAGTGTATGGAGAGGCAGAGTGGTTTAGCACTGTAAATACAGGACTCGGAGTCAGGGTTTGAACTCTTTTTACAACCACTATTGCCACTGACTTGGTGGCCTTAGGTTTTTGCCATTTACTGCCCTCCATCAACTAGTGCAGTCTCCCCAAAACCTGTCTGTCCTGTGCATTGCAATCTATTGAGACAGAGGCATGTAGTCTAGATGTACCCTCAGAAAGAAAACAGTTGAGAACCCTGCCTATTGTGCCAGCACATACACTCACTTGCGCACCCCCTGGAATTGTACCTGTTCTGGGGCCTTTTTGGCCATCCTATGCCTATGGATGCTGAGGAGCAGGGTTTGGCTGATAGAGCTCTATATGAGGACTTCCTCAGAACAGCTGATTGTGTTAGTTTATGAACAGCCATACTGGGTCAGACCAATGGTCAGTATACCCAATAGCCTGTCTTCTGATAGTAGCTGGTGCCAGATTCTTCAGAGGAGATGAAAAAACATGGCAATTTTATCAAATGATCCAGATCCCGTCATCCAGTCCTAGTTTCTGGCAGTCAGAAGTTTAGGGATCATAGAGGTGTGTTACTGACCATCCTACTCTCTAGGGGTATATCTACACTCCAGTGTTAATTCGAGTTAACTTAATTCAAAATAGTTAATTCAAATTAGTTTAATTTGAATTAATGCATCTACACAAAAAACCTATTTTGAAATAGCATTTTGCTATTTCAAAATAACGCATCCACACTGAGTGGACTCTGAACCGAAGTTAAGGCTGGCCGGAACCAGTGCCAGCAGGGCATCAGGTTAGGACTTAGTGTGTGGGGCTGCTGCCTGAGGCTAACTGAGCTCCGTGCTTAAAGGGACCCTTCCCGCACCTCCAGACAGACAGTTCTCAGGGTTCTCGACTTGCTTGTCTACCTTGATGAGGGACAGCAAATCAGTCCTGTCTTGGAGTGCTCTGAGTGCCCGCACTTGGGACACCACAGCACTAGGCCACATGGAGCCAGAGCTGCCCCTGGGCACACTGGTGAATCTCGTGGGGTTGTTGCCATCAGCCCGGCTGCACTTGGTGCAGGCTGCCATCTGGGGGATCCATCGGGGGGCTGTCAGGATCCAGGAGGCCCTGTGGGAAAGCATCCACCCCAAGGAGTCCTCAGAGCCTCCCTGGTCCTCCCCACTGGGGGCTTGTGCCCCATTCCTCCCTCACGTCCTTCCACTTACCCCTCCCTAGCCCTCCTTCCTTTGAACAAAAGACAAGTATGTTCAAAAATAGAAACTGGGTTTATTGAACGAAACTGGGGGGGAGGGGGGTGAACCTTTGGGGAGACTGGGAAAAGGAGGTGGGAGAGGGGAAGAGAGGGTGGGAGAAGGGAGAGGGAAACCTGGGAGGAGGGAGCTGGAAAGGGGAAGCAAGGGGAAGAAGGGGGAGGGGAAGCTCAGGGCCCAGGGTTGGGGGTCTCGCTGGACAATTTGATTTTCATGCAGACCTTATCCTGGGTTCGCATGTGGCCTTTGATGGCCAGGCTGGCAGCTATCCTGCCATAGAGGGCTACATTCCTCCGTCTAGTGCAGAGATCATGGACGTTGGGGGCATCCCCCCCAAACCTGAATAAGGTCCATGATCTCTACCCTGGACCAGGAAGGCGTTTGCCTTCTCCAGACCCTATCAGGCTCCTGGGAGCTGGCAGACTTCTTCTGGGGAGCGGTGGAAGGCTGGAGGGGGGGGGGGCGGGCTGCCAGTGGCTTGCTGGCTCATGTTTGGGGCCATTGGGTCAGGGGCCCTGGTGGCCACTGCTGACTCTGGGTTGGCAGGCTTGGAGCTGGCACAGGCACTGTGGCCAGGGTCTACCCCTTTAATGTCTCCAGGGCTGGGAGAGAGGAGAGTAAGTTTTCCTGGTTGTGCCCAGAGTGGCCACCAGAGCTCCCTGGGAAGGGTGGGGCCTATTTTGAATTAAGTGTCTACACAGCACTTAATTACTCCTCCTAGAATGAGGTTTGCCAAATTCGAATTAAGCGCTCCGCTATTTCAAATTAATTTAGAAATAGTGGTTTGCGTGTATAGACGCTATTAAAGTTAATTTGAAATAACAGCTGTTATTTCAAATTAACTTTGCAGTGTAGACATACCCTAGGAGTTCATCTAATTCTTGGGTTGGTGCTCTGTGATCCAGAGATGCAGCTGGTCTTGTTGGCATATGCCAACAACATGCTTCTTGTGATCCAGGATCTGGGTGACTTGGTGTGAATGGAGGCCTGGCTTGAAAGGATCCCTCCACTCAGGTCAGCTGGGTCAAGAGCTCTGCCTGGTGATTGAGGCCAGGTGGCAGGTGAGCTCTCTCACTCCTGTGCTTCAAGCCATCTGTGGGATCACAGATCCACTGCTCTGTCATGGTGTCTCTCTTTCTGCCGTGCACCCAGCCCTGCAGGAGAATGGGCAAGGTTTAGAGCCAGGGTGTCTGAGCTGTTGTGGAGGGTGACAGGACTACTCCAGTGTCTCTCCCTGCGAAGAAGGGCACCGGTGCTTAACCAGCTGGTCCTATCCATGTTCTGGCATTGGTTCAACACCCTGGTCTTGACCCCAGGGTTTCTGGCTGACCTCCAAAAGCTAATTCTGGGGTTCTTTTGGCCAGGACAGCACTGGGTCTCGGCAGGAATTCTCCATCTTCCTTTGGAAGAGAGAGGGCAGGGCCTGACATGCTTGTGCATGCAAGTCCATGTCTTCCATTTCAAGACCCTGAAGGGGCTCCTCTATGAGGCAAGTAGTCCAGCGTGGAGCACATTGGCACACGCTTTCCTCTGCCACTTCAGAGGGATCCAGTAAGACCAGCAAATCCTTTATCTCCATCCAGGAGAACTTCTGCAAGATGTCTCTGGGCTGCTGGTCTTCTACCAGGACTGTCTCTGGACCTGGAAGCTGCTTTTGGCAACCAGGTTCTTGGTGGTTACTAAGGGGGAGGAGCCCGGGCTATACAATCTGCAATTCCGTGTGCTGGTGGCAGAGTGTCCCTCAGTGCACCAGAGTTTGGTCTTGGCAGAGGTCACCAGGATTGGAGACTTCCTGGACTATGACTGGGAAGACTAGATGGATCCCCTGATGTTTGCTCAGCATGTGGGGCTCTTCATCTTTCATACTCCCCGGCCTGTACTGCCTGCTGCTTGGATTTACCTGAACAGGGTACTGCAGGAAGGTACATCCCACCCACCTCTTGCCCTGCCTCTCTGGATCCCTCCTTTGGCTCCCTGCCCCATGTGCCTTCCTGACCATTTCTTCCTGGTAATCTGAGCAGGCTGTGCACATTGCAGCCAGTAGCCATTCAAGAGATCATTGGTACATGCTTGTGTTTCACATGCTTCATTTCTCCATCCTCGTGTCCTGCTCAAATATGAAGCAGCAGGACCTTTTATCAGCGGTGGAAGGTGGGGAACCCTGGTGGCTAGTTTGTATTCAACCTTGGCCCTGTGGCTCATCAGGGACATCAATTGGCACATCCTACATGGAGCCGTGAGCACAGGAGCATACCTGGTGTGGTTCACCCCATCTCAGAAGCCTGCTCCTTCTGTGACATGAAGGCGACCCTAATGCATATCTACCTTGAGTGTGCCAGGATGCATCTCCTCTTCCGGCTTCTCCATAACCTCTTATTGAGCATCTGTCTGCTTTTCTCCCCTCAACTGTTTCTCTAGGCACACCTCATCCATAGCTCCACAAAGTCATGGGACCTCCTCGGCAACCTCCTCCTAACTATGGCCAAGGTGGCCATTCATAACACCAGAAAGAGGAGGATGGCTGGGGAGTGGGTTGCGATTGCAGGATCTGCTTTGGTTCTTTTATCCATTCATGCATCCAGGCAGAGATCCTCTGGGTGGTGTTCTCTGGCACCCTCAATGTCTTCAAGGAGCAGTGGGAGCTGTCCGAAGCTTTCTTCACGGTGTCCGCTTCAGATTCCCTTGTTTTGACCCTTTAACCTTCATACCTGCCCCGTTTTCTCCTTTTGGGTACGTCTACACTGCACCCGTAGCTAGAAATAAACTGTGCAATTTGAACTATGCAAATTGCGTAGCTTATTTCGAGTCAATTTCAAAACAGCTTATTTTGAAATTTGGCCTTGTCTACACAGAACTGATTTGAAAATAAATTGCTATTCTGAAACATCCCTTACTCCTTGTGGAATGAGGTTCACAGGGATGTCGGAATAGCAAGCCTGTTATATTTCAAAATAACAGGCTAACTCAAAAGATGCGGGATAGCTATTTCGGGATACTTCCAGTATCCCAAAATAGTACTGCAGGGTAGATGTAGCCTATTTGTCCTAAGTTCCTGGGCTCAGTGGATCCTCCCCACAAGCTGGGAGAGGGTCCTTTAATGATGAGCAGGCTTATGCACACATACTTGCCAGAATCCAATAGCATTACCCTGATCACTTTGCTTGCATAGTACCTTCATCAATTTTTTACTTTGTAAGAAACTTCACTTTTGGGGCCAGAACTGTGTCGTCTTCTGCGTGTGGAAAGTGCCTGTCACAAGCTAAATAAGAAATCTGAGTACCAGACAGCTCAATAATTTAAAGGCTTGCAGAAGCAGGCAGTGGTAGATCTTCAGTTATGTAATTGTTGACTGACTTTAAACTTGTTCTCTCACTATAACCTGTAAAATTGTTCCCATTTATTTTCCCACAGCCAGTGCTTATATCTGTTGGATATATAATTACCCAATGCTTCTTGTAATTATAAATCCAATCCTAGTCCGTTAAATAAATAAAATAATGTGTTGTCCTTAGCAAGGCCAGAACTTTTGGTTTATAAAGTGGAGCTTCTCAATGCATTTTCTTTTAAAACAAACTTAGTAGGACTGGAGGTACTACCTGTGCCCCCTAGTGGATGATATAAATAAAAGCTCAGTAGACTGATGATGTTGATATTTCACAGAATACTGATGTACTTTATCCATAATACTAATCATGTAACTGGAGTGGTACAAGTGGTATAGCCCAGGGCTCAGGAGATTATTGAGACCCAACCAAATGAGCTGCTGAGGAACAGCAGGGCCTGCTGGGGCCAAAGATGGCAGCTGGTATGGTCAGACTCCCTCCATCAGGGATGACTCTGGTGAGAGCAACTGGTAAGGATGCAAGGAGAAGGCACAGTGAGATTGCAGTGTTGGGAGGCGCATGGGGGCACATGAGGTCCCTGGAGACAGAAGATACAACTCTCCTAGTGACAGAATGTAAGGAAAATCATCAATCTTTTCATAGAGCAAGAGAGAGGGACAGTTGGGCTGGCTAAACCAGAGCCATGGGGAGGGGAGTTAGCATAGAACGGAGTGGAGCTGGCTTGGATTGGTGCTGTTGAGGGTGGAGGAAGGGGTTGGAATGGAAGTCAGAGGACTTGGATCAGGCTTATGGGCAATGGGGTGGGGCAGTTAGAGATGGCTGGCTAGATAACCATTTTCAGAGAGTAGTTATTAACAGTTCACAATAATACTGGAAGGGCATAACAAGTGGGGTTCTGCAGAGCTCTGTTTTGTGACTGGCTCTGTTCAATATCTTCATCAATGATTTAGACGATGCCATAGAGAATACGCTTATTAAGTTTGCAGATGATACCAAACTGTGTGGGGCTGTAAGCGCTTTGGAGGATAGAGTCAAAATTGAAACTGATCTAGAAAAATTAGAGAAAAGGCCTGAGGTAAACAGGATGAAGTTTAATAAGGACAAATGCAAAGTGCTCCACTTAAGAAGGAACAATCCATTTCATACATACAGAATGGAAAGCGGCTGTCTAGGAAAGAGGGCTGCTGAAAGGGATTTAGGGGCCATAGTGGACCACAAGCTAAATGCTATTGCAAAAAAAGCAAACATGATTCTGGGATGCATTAATAGGAGTGTTGTGAGCAAGACACAAGAAGTAATTCTTCCGTTCTACTCTGCGCTGATTAGGCCTCAATTGGAGTACTGTGTCCAGTTCTGGGTACCACATTTCAAGAAAGATGGGGAGAAATTGGAGAAGGTCCAGAGAAGAGCATCAAAAATGATTAAAGCTCTAGAGAACACAAGTTATGAGGGAAGACTGAAAGAACTCGGTTTGTTTAGTTTAGAAAAGAGAAGACTGAGAGGGGACATGATAGCAATTTTCAAGTATCTGTTGTACCTCGGTGTTTTCGTACCTCGGTACCTTCGGTGGTCTGGACTGTAAGTGTCAGCGTCGTCTGGTCAGGGTTGTCCTGGCGCACTCCTGACAGGACCTCTACTCCGTTGTTAAACTTTCGGCTGCGTGCGTAACAGTCGGTACTCCCGTGCACTTGGGACAACACAAGAGATCTCTGAGAGGCCCCGGAAACGACAGTTGCAGGCAAGGTTTGAAAACAATTGAGCAGGTTTATTGTCAAATGCAAAGCTCTACCAGTTGGTAACAGAGATCAGTACAATATTACACCACTGGGCACTATGGCCCGCGTTGACAAGGTACCAACACCAGGCAGGCCTATTGCCATATATCATATATTAACAGCAGTTAGTCAAAGTTAAGCTACTGTGCACTCTGTAAGTTTAGGCAATGACACCTGCCGTTCAGGCGCCTAGCGTGCCCCCCCAGGTCAGCCGGAGAGCACCCTCTGCGGTGTTCTTTTATAGACAGGTACAAACAACTTACATCATTTATTTACGTACTACGTTACCACCCTTTGTTGCCTAGTTACCTCCCCTCACCTTATGGAAGGGGGGCTTACTTACTGTCCTTCATGCTGTCAATTCCGACCTGGTCCTGAACCTAGGTCGGTATGTACATTAGTTTTTAGGGAGTTTTTGTACCAAGACATTTCTTATTAAGATGTTCCATTACTCCCCTTTGGCTCACAGTCTGTACCCAGTGCCTCCCTGTGTCCTTCCATGCTCGACCTAACTTACACAATCACACAGTTATCAATAGGGCCTCTTTCTTGGCTCCTGTTACTGAACCAAAGTCTTGCACACTAGATTGCAGATCTGTTGCTGTTTTCATGTTATAGGCCTCTATTTAGGCCTGCTGACTCATTACTGACCTCAACTTACTACAGTATCTAAAAGAGTATTACAAGGAGGAGGGAGAAAAATTGTTCTCCTTAGCCTCAGATGATAGGACAAGAAGTAATTGGGCTTAAACTGCAGCAAGGGAAGTTTAGGTTGGACATTAGGAAAAACTTCCTAACTGTCTAGATGGTTAAACACTAGAATAAATTGCCTCGAGAGGTTGTGGAATCTCAACCACTGGAGATATTTAAGAGCAGGTTAGACAAACATCTATCAGGGATGATCTAGATCAGGGCTACTCAACACGCAGCCCGTGCGGCCCGTGGCCTGTTTGTTTGTGGCCCACAGTACAGTTTGGGTTTATGTAGGGCTCAACATGCAGCCTGTGGGTGGGAGCCAAAGCAAAAAAGTAGTCAATATAATGGCCTTCTGTTGATATGAGTTTTAGTAGTTAAATTCCTGGACTGTCATTGCTTGTTACTAGTGCTGTCATATGAGTGGAAATCGGGTAAATATTGCATTTTAGTAATATCAGTGGAACTGACTTAAATGAGGCCTGTGTTTTGTGTAGTCTTGCCTTAAGCTTTGTAGTCATACCCATCAGTGTGAAAGAAGCTACTTGCATATATTTGCATAGATATTTGCATGTATATGCAACCTTACTTAAGTTGTCGCCCTCGGCATGTACTGTGAGTATCATTGTGGCCCCCAGAGCTTCCACAGTTGAATAGCCCTGCTCTAGATGGTGCTTGGTCCTACCATGAGGACAGGGGACTGGACTTGAAGATCTCTCGAGGTCCCTTCTAGTTCTAATATTTTATGATTCAATGAGCTGAAGGGAACTGAGAGGAGGAGTTGGGGGAAAGCTTGTAAGGCCCTCAAATGGGACTGAGGGGTAGACCAGGATGGAGGAGGGGCAAAAGATGAGCTAGAAATGGCCTGGAGGGGAGATTGGATTCAGGCTGGGGAAGTAAGGGCTGGATTGGAGGCTTGAAGGACTGAGAGCTGGGAAGGCAGGAGGTGGATCAGTACTGGAAGGGAGCAAAGGGCCGGGGGTTGGGGGGGGGAGGCATGAGGGTTCTTATTCTGAGAACATGTGATGAACGTATGATTATAAACAAATAATGAATTTGTCAAGACAAAATCTTACCAAGGCCCACATTAGAGTTAGGATGATGTTTACTGCTGTTAAATTTTTTGGCATGTGTTTAAGTTCTGGTATTGTAAATGCTTTCTGTGTAATATTTTCAGCTTAAGAATAAATATGCTTCCTTAGAAAGGGCTGCATGTTAATTTATGACTGAGGGTATTATGCTGTTTTTAGCCTCTGAAGAAAAAGCAAAGCAGGCCTGCTTAAGCTATGCTGGCTTGCTGGGCATTCATGAGGCTACGTCTACACTGGCAGCTTCTTGCGCAAGAACTCTTTTGAGGAAGAGTTCTTGCGCAAAATGTCTTCCACAAGAGTGTGTCTACACTGGCATGTGATTTTGGCAAGAGCATCCATAGCAGTGTAGATGCTCTCTTGCGCAAGAAAGCTCTGATGGCCATTTTAACCATAGGGGCTTCTTGTGCAAGAAATTCATATTGCCTGTCTACATTGGCCTCTTCTGGAAGAGTTCTTGCACAAGAGGGCTTCTTCCTGAGAGGGAGCGTCAGACTTCTTGTGCAAGAAGCCCTGATTTTCTACAGTACAACATCAGTTTACTTGCGCAAGAATGCACGGCCAGTGTAGACAGGCGGCATGTTTTTGCGCAAGAACGCGCCAGTGTAGACATAGCCAGAGTATAGGAAAGGACCTGTGCAGCCTTGAAATACCCTGGTCAGGAGGGAGAGAACTAGGGGTCTCTACCCAAGAGACTGAGAAGCCAGAGCCTACCATGAGTGTCTTGCTGGACCATAAGGGGAGGAATATAGGTGCAGGTGCCTGAATTGTAAGATATCACACTAACATTGATGGTTATCTGAATATCAATAAACTGTTCTTTATAGCTGAAAAGCAGCTGGCAGTCTCTGAAAAAAAATACTTGGCATTTCAAGTGGGCAGCAGTTGGGCTAGTAACACTATTTTCCCCCACCCCCTTTTAATTCAACCCCTGGTAATATATGAGTTTATCTGAAAAGGTAAGGGCTATATTTTATTTAGTTTATACAAAACTAACATGGTTTTAATTGTTCTTCCTTTGCCATTTTCCAGATGTGCAAGACAGCAAATTTTTTAAACGTGTATTTTTCTATTTCTAGGGTCACAGTAACTGCAATGTGCAACATGGATTTTAGTCGCTTCCCCCTGGACACACAGACATGTTCACTAGAAATTGAAAGTTGTAAGTAAAAACAGGTAACATGAGGTTACATATGTAGGTCAAGATTTTCAAATATGGGAGCCTAAAATTAGGCTACTAAATCCATGTAAGGCACCTAAGTAAATGGCATGTATTTCAGAAAGTGCAGAGCAACCTACAACTCCATCCAAAGTCAACAAATTGAAAATGACTGGGAATTTTTTTTCTACACTCCTTCAATTACAATATTCAGAGGTGTGGGTCGCCTCAGACAATCCTGCTGCACTGTGCTACTCCACAAACAAGTGAATATATCTTACATGCATCACAATTATATCCAGAATATATACTAAAGATGTAACCAAACTTACATCCTCATGGAGCTCCTTTTTCTGAATCTGACCTGACTTTGAATGTCCTGGCTTTCATACAAATATATTTTGTAACAACTATATCCATATTTTCCTCTTACATTGTTAATAAGCATTTATAACCTTACTGCTGGTTAAGCAATTATGTTTGAGTTTGTAGGGGGTTTTTATTTGTGTCTCTGCCTTTTGCCTGGGAATAACCAACTCTGGTATAAAACCTAAGACTAGACAACTAAATTTAACTGAAACACAAGGAGAGAGGTGATTATTATGCCCGACTGTAATCACCATAACTCTCTGCAAGATGCAAGGCTAAGTTATCTTGAAATTGAACTATAATGTTACCACTTTTTTCACTCATGCAACTAGTCAAATCCTGGAACCTTGACAATGTTCCAGTTGAGAAGGCTGGTATTTTCCTTGATGCAGTCTTGTTTATTTACGAGATGTGTATTGAGTCCTACTTCTCCAAACACAGGGGAACCAAAACAAGAGAAGAGCTTTTTTTTTGTTCCCAGCCCAAACCCTTATTAGCCAACCCTAGGCACGAAAGCTCTTTCTAGACTTCTGCTAGAGTCACATCACATTTGCAGACTTGCTTGGTTTTCTTGCTTTGCCTCAGGCCCAGGTTTTTGTCTGCTTTCTCAGCCAGACTTTTTCCACGCCCACATATTCACTCACTCACCTGGTCTGAACAATACACAGTGGAATCCTTTACCCCTTCCCTCCCTTGCTAGTGTATGGACAGACTATCAGGCATTAATAGTACTTTTAACAAGATTTTATCTCAACTCATAAGAAGGCTTAGATTAGTGCATAACAATAACTAGAATGGGCATTTTCCATAATTAGGGCTCCATGTTTGTCACGGAGGCAGAAGACAAAGCTTCTGTGACTTTCTGCAACTTTTGTGGCTTCTACAGTGGCCAGTGTGGCTGACCCCAGGGCTGTGCTGCCCAAGTGTCCCAAGACAGCCATACCGGCCACTTGTGGAGAGGCTCTACAGCTAGCCATTTGGATGGCCCTGCAGCCAGCTGCACCAGCCACTACTCAAACAGACCCAGAGCCAGCTGCACTGGCTGGTGCTCAGGTGGCTCTGGGTAGCTGGCCCCAGGGGCTGCCTGAGTAGCAGCGGCTGACTCTGGGAACTGACTGAGCAGCGGTCCCAGGGGCAGTCTGTGCAGCTGCTGGCCTTACCCACCCCGCTGCAGTGCCCACCTCCAGAGTACTCCCCCCAGCAGAAGCCCCCTGCCCCCCCACAGCATCAGGCCCCAGCTCAGCCCCGACATTCTCCTCAGCACCCTTCTCCTTCCCCCCAGTTTTAGTCAGGGGTATTTTTAGTATAAGTCATGGACAGGTCATTGGCTATGAATTTTTATCTCTTGCCCAGGATCAATCCATGACTTATACTAAAAATATCCCTGACTAAATCGTAGCCTTAAGTGTAATCACAAGCACATCCATGCCCATCACCAACTGTGGCTCAAATGGGCAGAAAATCTGCTGTTCCACCCAAGTTTTTATAACTACCTTTGAAGACATATTGACACATTCTGAACTATACACTCAATACCATTTGGTATAATTACACTATACCAAAGATTTACTCCTGCTTTCCTAGATGCCTACACGGAAGATGATTTGATGCTGTACTGGAAGAATGGGAATGATTCCCTAAAAACAGATGAGAGGATATCGCTATCCCAGTTCCTGATACAGGAGTTTCATACCACCACCAAGCTTGCATTCTACAGCAGTACAGGTAAGTGACTTTTACTAAAGTCGTGCAATTCTGATAGATTTTGCTTTCTCCTCTCCCCAATCAAATGAAATCAACTTTTCCTCTGCTATATGAGATGGACAGGCTTCCTCTGGGGTCCATAAAAACTGCCCTTGAATTGGCCACAGAGGATGCATTAGCATGTAGTTGGAGGCCTTCCCTTTCCCACAAGGGCTGAAGCACAAGCAAAATTCATGGTGAATTGCAAACATGGACTTAATTATTTATTCATCACTTGTGACCGAGTGTACTAGGCCCATGGTCCTATCACACGTCACCCCAGAAAAGGGAGCATAAGAGGTGAGTTCTGCAGGCTTTCTAAAGAGGCTACAGAGAAGAGTCAATCAGAAAGTAGCAGGCTCTGGCTCCGTGATTCCCTTCTGCTTTCCTTCACTCTTCACGGGGTGGATCTACTGAGCTGCGGCAGTCTTCACCATTTCTGGTGTCAGTTCTGGTGCCCCTAGTTATAGGGATTTGCAGCATCAGACATGCTCTTCTCAGCTGGTCTGTCCTTGGGACTCACCTTTCCTCTTGCAGCAAAACCTTTTTGTGTGACCCACCTCTCCCCAGTAAAAGCAATTAAGTCTTGCCATCCTCTGTAGTTTACCCCAGGACAAGCTCCTTCTTAAATGCCCATAATATCACTGCAGCTGGGCTTCAGGCCTCCAGCCTGCTAAACCCACCATGTTACTGACTGTAATGCAGCTCAAGCGTCTCTATCCACTCCTGCTAGTTGCAGTAGGTCTCTTGCCATTGACGCTGTGCTACATACTGAGTGTTCTGCAGTTTCTGCTGGTTCTCCAACAGTTGCATCAGCATGGCCTGGATCCGCTGCTGTTACTGTCCTGTTGCTAGTAGGCGGATCTTCCGTTATAGTACCCCTTGTTTTCAGGGGTCATGCCAAGAACCTTGTGATGGGGCCCACTCACTTCACAAGAGCCCCTACTATCGTGTGTGTGTGTGTGTGTGTGTGTGTGTGTGTGTGTGTGTGCGCGCGCGCCTGCACTCTCTTCAGCTGCACCCTTTGAGGTGACCCTTTGGTGGCAGTTATTACTTCTCTGGTGGGTTTCTAGTAACTCAGCCCTCCAGTCAAGTCACATATAGTCGATGTGTGAAACAAACACACAAACCGACCCCTTTCGGGGGTATGTGACCCAACAGGGCTTTCCTCAGTACAGCCTTTGCAGCCCTCTTCCTGGACTTGAGCGTCAGTCAGACCAATATGGCCGATCACAGAACTTTGGTTATAGCAAACTCTCTCTCTGGGCTCTCTCTCGAATTGTGCCTGCTCTGGTATGGAGCAGTGCCCCCAGAGCTTCTTCCTTGGAAATTCTTTATAAGCCACTTCCTTAGTGACTGCTGGGGAAGACTTAGGCCAGCCCACTACTCCAGATCCTCACCCTGGGACCCTATAAGTAGCAGTTGCCTGCTGCATCCCTTTACTAACTGCTGCATTTTCCTGTGCCACTTACCTGCTGCCCAAGTACCTTTACCCTTACCTCAGGGCTCAAGATTTTCCTGAGTTCCTACAACCAGCCAGGAGCACCTTCCTTGCTCCCCTGGTTCTAGTCAGCAACTGACCTGCTCCGTCCAGCAGCTTCTTTTTATGTGAGCCTGGTAGTCTCTGATTGGCTGCTTTCTGAAGCCTCCCTAGGCACCCTTGAGGACTCCTCTGTCCTGTTCCTTTTCTGGGGTAAGGTATGGTAGAACCACAGAGTCTGGTAAATCCTGCCACAATCTCACTTCTCCCTTTGTGTAGTGCTGTGTCATGGTACATTTGTGGTACTATATAAATAATAATAGTCCCTGTTTTGAATCATGTTGCATTACAGCGGCATCTTACAGTAGGTGGGAATGTCCCTGACTGAAGTGTGGGCAGATGCAAAGTTAACTGGCAATTTTAAATTTGTATCCACGTATTTACCTGGTGCATTTGTTAGAATTTTACATAAAATGAGAGTCCCGATCCTATAGGTCCTCTCTCCATGGAACTCATAAGATCAAGAGTGATATTTGGTCTAAGAGTCCAGTCCTGTGAGGTGATGAGACTTCAAGAATATGGATGACTTGATTAAACTCCACTCTGCTCTTTTATGGGTAGAGGTCAACTCATAGAGATCACTTTTAATGTTTTCCTTATAGCACTGTTGCCCTGTGCATGTTGAAATTACTCAAGATGTCCTATGTTGTATTTGTGGATAGTTTTTTACTTTGGTGTTATTTATTCTTTTTTCTTTCTCTCTGTGATACAGGGTGGTATAATCGTCTCTATATTAACTTCACTTTACGCCGGCACATCTTCTTCTTCTTGCTGCAAACCTATTTCCCTGCCACTTTGATGGTCATGCTGTCCTGGGTGTCCTTCTGGATTGATCGCAGAGCTGTACCTGCCAGGGTCCCATTAGGTAAAAAGAATCTTGTAGTTGGCATGCCTAAGTGACAGGTCATCCACTAAGAAAGACCTACCTATGGAGAATTTCATCAGTATCTTCCCCCATCCTGTGATATACACCATACCACATTGTTCAGCCACTGAATTCATCTACTGCACTTGCTCACACTTACGCATGTAGGTCAGAATAGGCTGACCCCATTCATCTCTTCTTTATTACTCTAACAACATTTTCACTGCAGTAATCAATGTCACAAATGGTAAATGTACACCAAAAACAAAGTGAGGAACACAACATTCATTTTCTCTTTCTGTTGTATTATAATTATAATACATAACAAATACAGAGCATTTTCCAAGTATAGGTCTAAAAAACACTTAAATTCTAGTGGCAAAAGAAGTGAAAACCAGTATCAGCAATTCATTGCTCAGTTTTACATTTTTCTTTGCAATCAAATAAACTACTGTTGGAATTAAAATATGAGGTGACATTTTCAAAAAAGTCTCTGGGATTTAGCTCTGAGTTCTATAGTGAGCTACATGCAGGCAGACCATAGGTGTACATCATAAGATTGGGATCATAGACACTTCCCTTCCTGTAAAATTAATGTTCTAAAAACCTTTATCTTGATTCATTATTACTACTTGTCTTGGACCATTGAGTCCAATCCCACTCCTAATGATTTCAGGATCCCTTATTTATTGCAAATTAACCAGTTTAATGGAGACAATATGTATATAGACATAGAACAGATATGAATGCATATGTCCAATTCATGTTTTTGTTACAAAATGGCTGACATTCATACCAAAGCAGTGATATCAAATGCTTAGAAATCTGGCTGAGAGTTAGAGCAATAGAAAATAAAAACACAGTGCTTATAGGGAGCTTTTCATTTTCAAAGCAGTTTACTAACATTATGTAATTAATCCTGCTAACAGTCTTGCATGATAGGGCGGTGTATAGGATTAGCCCTGTTTTACAAATGGGAAACAATAATATGGGGCCAACTTAATTACAGACAAATTATCATGTCCTGGCATGCTGAATAGTACCTTCAGCCATGAGATATTCTGCAGGAATCAGTGGGATTTCTCACAGAATAATGTACTACTCAGCTTGAATAAGGATATCAGATTCTGACCTTTAACCTCTCTGCCTCCAAGGAAGCTCATATCTGGCACATTCGTGGAGAATTGCTGAACTGGTTACTGTGGCATTTGGTCTTCTGCTACATATCCTTGAGGGCTTTAATTTTCTCTTGACACTGAGGTCCTTTTGAATAGATCCCTTCCTCTGCTAGCTTTTTGGAGATGGCCTCGTGGCACTGTAGATTTTGGGTCATACCCCTAAAATCATGGGGTATTTTGCTCACTTCACACCAGAGATCCACCAAAATCCTGGTGTCCATTTCGGATCAGCTGGCAGGATGGTGGGAATATGATCTTCCAGTCACTAGCTCGTCTGTTCATATCCAGTAAAAACACAATTGAAATGTTGCAGATAAAGCACACCATGTGCAATATGGGGTTCAAATGTGTATGTGACTCCCAGTACAGAAGCAGGAAGTAGGCAGATGACAGAAAAACACAGGCTAGGAGGAACTGTGGAAAGGCTTTGGAAAATTAGTAGTGCCTGAGATGCTTATCTTGCCTCTACACTGCAGAGTGTTCATGTTAGAAGCTTGAGTGTTGACAGCACTCAAGTGTTAGCTTATATCAGGGCTACTCAACATTGGAAACCCCAAGGGCCACAATGATACTCACAGTACATGCCGAGGGCTGCAATTTAAATGTAGTTGCACATACATGCAAATATATATGCAAATAGCTTCTTTCACACTGGCAGGCATGAATACAAAGATTATGGCAAGATCACACAACACACAGGACCCATTTAAGTCAGTTCTCCTGATCTTAATAAAATGCAATATTTACCCGATTTCGAGCAATATGACAGCCCTTTAGGGCTACGTCTAGACTGCATCACTCTGTCGACAGAGGGATGCAAATAAAGCACATTGAAATTGCAAATGAAGCAGGGATTTAAATATCCCGTGCTTCATTAGCATAAACATGGCTGCCACTTTTTTTCTAAACAGTTTTTTTCTAAAAAAAACCCAGCAGTCGAAACGCGGATCTTTTTCGACAGATCCTGTATTCCTCAAAAAATGAGGTTTACATGAGCTGTTGAAAAAGGGTTTATTTTCGGCAGATCTGCATCTAGACTGGCTTTTTTTTTTAAAAAAAACTCAGTTTAGAAAAAAGCTGTGGCCAAGTTTATGCTAATGAAGCATGCAATATTTAAATCCCTGCTTCTTTAGCAATTCTGATGTGCCTAATCTAAATCTCTCTGTTGACAGAGCAGTATAGTCTAGACACATCCTTAATGAGCAATGACAGTCCAGGAATTTAACTACTAAAATGCATATCAACAAAAGACCATCATATTGACTCCTTTTTTGTTTTGGCTCCCACCGTGGGCTGCATTTTGAGCCCCACATGAATCCAAACTGCACCATGGGCCTCAAACAAACAGGCTGCATGTGGCCCATGGGCCGCATGTTGAGTAGCCCTGGCCTGTATAGTCTTTGCCAAACTATCTACCTCCACTATAAAGCATCCCCACACCAGATCAAGAGGTTTTTGTGTGGATGGAAGTTCAGGTTAGGGGCAACATTAAATAAGAACACAAAGTTAACTTTGCAAGGGAGACACACCTTTAGTAGGAGAACCAGGGTTAGAAATCAGGAATTTCTGGATCCCACTAACCCATACCTTAAACTTAAAATAGATATTTTAAGGATAAATTAGAACTTCAGGAATAGGATTTGCTGTAAAAGAACACAGTTTGAATTGTCTTCACTGTTTGTGTCTGAATTGATGATGGTGTGTTCCCAGGAATAACTACAGTACTGACCATGTCAACAATCATCACTGGTGTAAACGCTTCCATGCCTCGGGTTTCCTACATCAAAGCTGTGGATATTTACCTCTGGGTCAGTTTTGTGTTCGTCTTTCTCTCAGTGTTGGAATATGCAGCAGTGAACTACCTGACCACAGTGCAAGAGCGGAAGGAAAGAAAACTGCGAGACAAAGTGAGTTACTATGTTCAGTGCCATTCTATATAATTGAAATACATGTTTGAAGGGCTGACTGTGCTTCAAAAGTCTGCATCCACACTGAAAAATCTAAGCTTCTGTTGAAGAACTGAGCATGTGCAAAAAGTATTAGTACAGTGTTCCTCATTAGAGTTTAAGAGTTCGCTAATGTCATCTGGACTCCAAGCCCACTGAAGTTTTTTCAGCCTGTAAAGTCAATCAGACAAAATCCTTATATATATATATAGTAAATGTGACCTTTTGGCATCTTGTCTTTTAAATTCTCTCTCTTTGTAATTAAGAGACTACCTTGCAAATAGTATCAGATATAGAAATAGTATTGTGAATGGAGTGGGTGTTCTGATAATGAGGATTCAAATACATCTAAGCACATGTTCAGCTCAATTTACAATGTGCCATTAAAAATGGGCATGCTTTCAGGAAAATTTGGAATTGTAAAGAAATGGCATTCCCACCCTTCTCCAGAAGCCATCTAGACTGCAGCAATTCAAATGCATCTCTTTGCCTTTTCTGTTATGTTAAAAACAAAATCCTCCTGCTAAGCTTCCATCTTAAGATTGGCTTACCCTAAGGCTTTCCACCCCACAAGTTCCTGCTGTCCTTCCCCATAATGCCCTCTGTTTCAAGGAAAGACACCAGTCCTCTTGATACCCCGCAGTGGAGCTAACAGAACTTATCAGCTTTGCTTACTCATGATAGCAATCTCTGCATTTTTACACAGGGCTGTAACTAGAAATAGTTGAAAATATTCCACTGAAATATCTTCCATCGAAAAATGCCAGTTCATCAAAATCAAGGATTCCATGGCAGCATGTTGATTTTAACAAAAAAAATTTCTTAGCCAAAGTATTTCAAAACCCTAACCAAAGTATTTCAAAACAGTTTCAATATTATCAGAATGAAGTGTCTCAACTTTTCCTTTTGCAACATGTAGAAACTTATTTTATATTATTATAAAGTATAACATTTCAAAAAAGCATTGGTGAAATGACACCAAAGTTTGTTTTGTGGAAAATACAGGAAGAAAGCTCATTTCAAAATAGCAGCTTCCTCAGTTCCTGCACAGCCCTTGTTGTAATACCTGACGTTTCGTTGATTCAGCCCATCTTCCTATTGAGGGTTCTAGTTTGACCATGTTCTTCACAAAATTTTTGTAGTAAATTAATAAAATCCATCCTTTGTCATATAAGAGTATGAAAGATGGTAAAGGTAAGGGACAGATGTACAAATTATATGACACAAAGCCCAGTGATCAGATAAAATGGGCTTCAGATGGATCCAGAGATAGCCCTGCAGGGACCTGGCCCCCAAGCAGTGTTGGCTTAGCTTTCCCTGGACAGCATGATTCTTTCATTTGTACTCCTTGCAGCATCTGCACCAAGGGAAGAAAAGGTCTTCAGGAAGGGCATGCTACTGAGGCCAGGTCCACACTACACAAGGAAGTCGTGCGTGAATAGTGTAGCTGGAGTTGGCATACCTTACATGGAATTTTTGTGATATCCCTTCCGCGGGAGGTCAACGGGAGAAACTCACCTGTTAGCTTGACTTCCCTTACTCCTCACGTCCATGTGATGTACCAAGGTTGATGGGGGCACCATCAGTGGTTGATTTAGTGGGTTCTTACTAAACCCAATAAATCAAATCCTGGAAAATCGATCTCCAGAGCATAGAACTTAGGGTAAGTGTAGACCTAGCCAGAGGGAGCTACTGACCAAATCCATTGCTGCTGCTCTTTTTTTCCTCTGTCCCCCAGCAGCCTGGTTTCCACTAGGATTTGCTTCCCTCTGTCCATGTAAGGATAGGAGCATTAGGGCCAAATAGCTCCAAATACTCTCTCATATAACTACACTAAACCTTATTCACAGCTTCCTTGTACTTGTGGACTACCTCAGCCTCGGCCCATGATGCTGGATGGCAGCTACAGCGATGGGGATGTGCATGAACTGGGACACTACATGTCTGAGAATGGAGATAAACAAGACAGAATGATGGTGCAGCTGACACTTGGTTCCGAAAGGAGTTCAAGCAGGAGGAAAAACCAGAGATATGTCAGCATGCGCATTGACACCCATGCCATTGACAAGTACTCCAGAATAATATTCCCAGGCTCATACATTTTATTTAATTTGATATACTGGTCCATTTTTTCATAAGTATCAATTATTTCTCTAGTCAGTTTCTACCTGTTGCACTGTGTTCCTGTTTAAAATTAACATCTATCATGCTAATAAACAGAAAATGAAGGAAACAGTGCTATTTTGACTGATCAGAATTTTGATACTTTGATTATGTAAGATCCATCTGTTATAAAACATTTCTATATTCATTTAAGCTCTGAACAAAAACTAGGATCCATTGCATAACATTTTATACTAATTTTAAGCTGTACTATGTTCCTTCATGGGCCGCTCTAATTTGTTTTAATAGATGGCAAGAATAATCATCACCTCATAAATCATTCCTAGCCTAACATCCTGATCTTGCAAATACTTAAGTATGTGCATTAGTTTCTTGAATTAAGCAGTTCTATTGAGTCCTGCATCAATATTCACATGAAGGTGGTTACTTGTGGCTTTCGGAGAGGTAAGTATTATAAGCACTGGAAAGTTTATTGATGCTTAAAGCTTTCTTCCCTGGTTAATGCATGCTTTGATTAACATTGTGTTGGAGTAACTGAAAGACATACTAATGTCTTGTACAGTTGCCATGCCCTCTCTTGTTCATTCCTGAAAGGAAACGCTTTCAGGCTGCTTTGAATAACCAGCTTTTAGTATAGCAAACAGGATATATTTACTAAGCATTTCACCCAAATCTTTCTAATTTAAATGAGATTTTTTTCCCCAACACAAACACAATACTCTTTAAAAAGAGGCTTTCAGTAGACTTAGGTAGCTCTATAGCGCAATTAGAGACCCAGGCATGGCTGTTCTGGCCTAGGTCAGCTGACTCAGGCTGACAGGGCTGAGAAACTGAAGTGAAGACATTCAGGCTTGGGCAGAAGAGGTGTAAGGTGAAAAGGGGGCCCAGCTTCATGCCCCAGAAGGGGCAGGGCCTAGAGCAATCAGCCTTTAGCACTGCCAGGACTATGATGCTGCCCTCCCCCTGCCAGCCCTCAATGCTCCCATGGCAGTGCAAAGCGGCTTGGGGCTGTAAAGTAGCAGTGGTAGTGGCTGGGAGCTCTGAGCCCCTTTGAAATGCCAAGCCCCTATGCAATTTCCTACTTTGTCCCGCTACCGCCAGGCATGGGCGTGGGCTGAGCCTGGGCTTGGAAACCCCTCAGTGAGAGGGTTTCTGAACCTGGGGCTCCAGCCTCAGCCCAAATGATCATGCTGCAGCTTTATAGCCCCATAGCACTGACCCATGCCCTGCGACTTGGTGCCACAGTGTAGCCACACCCTGAGAATTTTACCATTTAATTCCCCAGATGAGGAAACATGCCCCTCTGCCTATTAAAGAAAAAACAAACCAACTCTTTTCAGGGAGACAGATGTATAAACAGAATGATTTAAAAAATCAGTTTTCCTCAGAGATTCATACTGTACTATCCTGCTATTCCTGGTAATCAGCATGCATTCTACAGACTAACAAAAAATGTTACAGCTAGGTTGAATTTGAAAATCAAGCTGAAGGTACACACCATCGCACAGGATAGAATCAAAAAAGCTCTCAGCAAGAGTGGAGGGCAATCAGCACCCAGTTAGATTACCCCCTCATTTAGGTAAGTATAGTATTTCCATGACAGGTTCCTACAGCACAGATGGGGTGGATTTGTCATGAACAATTCATGCCAAAGCAACCTAATTTCTGTTTTTCATAGAGCTACTGGCCTAATGGATAGGAAGAAGCAGTGGAAGCAATATATCCTGATTTTTAGAAAGGCTCCTGACTAGGGATGTAATAGTGTAGTCGATGAACCGATTAACTGATAAGCAAACGCATACAGGTTAATGCTATAGACTACATGCATTCCCCCCCACTCCCTGCAAGTACATTTTTTAGCAGCCTGGCTTGCACTGGATCTGGGACATACCCCTGCTGCGGCTCTGCATTTAAAGTATATTAGGAGCCACGTGGGCAGGCAGCCCATCTCAGTTCTGACTCATGCTGGGTCTGGGAGCTCAGAGCACTCCCTGAAAGGGGCTGCTGCCTCTGATACAGAGGCAGCAGCACAGGGCAACAGGCAGCTGGTCCATGAGGGGAACCCCCACCAGGCACCTGGCAGGGGGTTCCTCAGGAGTGGGGCCTGAACACACTTGCTGCCAGCTTTACCCTCAGGAATTCAGGAGGTTAGTCGACTATTCAATTAACCGATATTAAACATCCCTACTCTTGACACAGTCCCACATGACAGTCTGATAAGCAAACTAAGGATATAGATGAACCTATATAGTGGGTGCATAACTGGTCAAAAGACTGTACCCAAGAGTAGTTATCAATTGTTCAATGTTAAATCAGGAGGATTTATCTAGTGGGGTCACTGAGGGGTTTGTCCTGGGTCTGGTATTATTCAGCATATTCATTAACAACATTGATAACGAAATAGACACCAAGCTGGGAATAGTTGCAAGCAGTATGGACAAAAGGATTAGAATTCAAGCAGAGCTTGGAGAATTAATCTAAAATGAACAAGATGAAATAAAGACAACTGCACAGTAAGTACTACACTTAGGAAATAAAAAAATGAAATGCACCAATATAAAATGGGGAAAGACTGGCTAGACAATAATATTGATTAAAAGGATCTGTGAGGTAGAGTGGATCACAAATGGAATATAAGCCAACAATGTGATGCTGTTGCAAAAAAGGATATCAGTTTGGAGTGTATGTGAAACATGAGAGTTAACTCTATCATTCTATTTGGCACTGAAGAGGCCTCAACTGGAGTCCTGTTGAATTCTGGGCACCACCCTTTGCAAAAGATATGGATAAATTGGAGAAACTCCAGCAGACAGCAACAACAATTAGAAAGATTTAGAAAACCTGACCTGCGAGGAAATGTTAGAAGACCTGGGCATGTTTAGTGTTGAGAAAAGAAGACTGAGAAGGGAACTTACAACAGTCTTCAAATATATTAAGAAGTGCTATAAAGAGGACAGTGATCAACTGTTCAACAATGTCTACTGAAAACAGCACAAGACGTGATGAGTTTAAATCAGCAGCAAGAGAGATTTAAGTTATAGTTTGAAAAATTTCCCCTAATATCTAAAGATAACTAAGTAGTGCAACAGTTTTCCAAGAAGGCAGAGGAATCCCTATCGTTAGAAGTTTCTTAAGAACAAGTTATCGAATATCTGTCAAGGATGGTCTAGATATACTTGTTCTGCCAGGAGGTGGAGCGGGGGACAGCAAATGTGGGTAGGTGGACTAAAGATGACCTCTGAAGTTTCCTTCTAAACCTACGTTTATGTGAGTCTATGACCAGCATGTTCACATAGAAAGAGTAAAATGTTATATAACTTACATGAATAAGAATAACAGTAATAGACGCCAAAGATTTTTTCCTTCCCCCAAGCAAATCTATGGACCTTACAAATATGCTAACTCAAGGTTTCTTGCAGTTAATTGGTTATATATTACCTTTAAAAGTATAAGTGGATAAGCAAATTCAAATGAGTAATAGGACCTGAAACATAAAACAATCACAATTGTAAAAGAAAAGGCGTGTGTGCAGGAAAAATGGTGTTTCACACATTGTAAAGCATTACAGTTTTTTGCAGTTATAACCACTTTCAGGATCATATTGTAGCTGCTATTGCTTTATGACCAATTTACCTTTTCCTCAATGATATCTGATTGGGCTTGTTTGGGTTTGACCTTCTATTTACTATATTACTTTTGAACATAAACGTCTGAAGAATGTTGTTTATTTTTATATGTAAATCACAAAACTATTGTAAAATGTTCACAATTTCCTGAAACAGCTAAAATTATGGACTGAAAAAATATAAATGGAGAACTACACCACTGGTAAATAGAGCCAAAGTATCCAAGTGTATGGAAAAGAAATTGTATAATGTTAAAGTCACTAACAGATACATATTTGCTATGTCAGCAGTGATTTTTGTTTAACTTCTACATCAGGCTATATACATACATTGATATCTTATTAACGATTAAGAGATATTCCAGGGTACATCTACACAGCAGTGTTATTTTGGAATAACTGATGTTATTTCGAAATAACAAAATGCGCAACTACACAGCAAGCCATTATTTCGAAATAATGTCAAGATGGAGGCCTTCTTACTCCAACTCTTGTAACCTTCATTTCATGAGGAGTAAGGAAAGTCAAAGGAAGAGTGCTCTTCCTTCAACTTCCTGCTGTGTAAGCAGCACCTAAAGCCAAATTAAGCTATTTTGACTTCAGCTATGCATTTAATTCAACGTTAGCCCTGCTGTGTAGACGTTGCCCCAGATAAATTACTTTCTTACAAGGACACAGTTTAACGTGAACAAAAGGGAAAATATTACATTTGAGAGAACTATTGAAAAGCTAAGGACAAGGCTAGCCCACAAAGAGTACCATAGATTTCAAGAGTAGTACTTACACAGTAAGGTACTCCATCCTTCACCGTTATCAGAACTATTTCCATAGTTACAACCAGAATATTTAGGTTGACATTTTCTAAGGGTGTGTCTAGACTACAGAGTTTTGCCGACAAAAGTGGACTTTTGTCGACAAAACTATACCTGTGTCTACACTACTGCCAAGTTCTGTCGATATAACATCGACAGAACTCAGCAGTTTTGTCGACGGCTGTAAACCTCATTCTACGAGGAATAAATGCCTTGTGTCGACAGAGTTCTGTCGACAGAGGGCGTTATTGCATCTACGCTGTCCTTTGCTTTGTTGACAGAACTGGCTGTAGTCTGTCGACAAAACTTGTCAACAAAAGCCTGTAGTCTAGACGTATCCTAAGATGGATTGCAAAGCCTTACACTGAAGAATTAAAATGTTAGCTGTGTTACTTAGCTGTGTTACTTTTAACCTATAATTGGATTGTTTATTGAATCATTACTTAAATCTTGTAATGGATCACCACATAGTAATGTACAAATTCTTTGGCCTCTGTCTATAAAGAGTAATGAGGGGGGACTTTCAACAATACAAATGAGTTAGGTACCCAACGCCCACTGATTTTCATAGGATGCCTAACTTGCCTTTTGGAACTTTGAAACTCCATCCCATCAAGGATCTTTCAAAGTAAATTGTCCAGATCTGATATCTGAAGTTACATTGCTACTTTATTTATATGATTATATTTTCAGCTTTAGTGCCTTTTTGGTTTATACTATATATAAATATTTTTCTTCCATGAGAGTAGGGTATGTTATATAAAGCCAGTGCTTGATTTTAAGGCTCATAATCATAAAAAAGAAAAAAAAGTTGCTTTTTGGTTTTCAGCATTCCAATGTGCATTTTTGCATAAGATCATTCATTTTCATAAAGTTTAATAGTTGTTTTTTTAATGTATTACTAGGAAAACTCAACCTCACAATAAATCTTTGCATATGTATGGCATTGTGTGTTTTCTCCCCAAAATTCTAAAACTATCTCCATGAATGTATACATAATATATTTTCTGTTCAAGGACCTACTCTGGCTAGTGCTGAATTCTCTTAACTCCTTTAGACACTACTGGTTTAAAAAGCCTTAGGACTTCAGAGCCAGGACTGTAATAAGTTTATTTCGAAATTATAAGTGAGAAGATGGATTAAGTTTCCATCCTAAATTGTCAAGGGGCCCATGATGGGACACCTACCCCACACTGGAAGAGAAAGGGTTAATCGAGACCTATGGAAGTTGCACAGGAAGCAGCCAATTAGAGAAAGGTTGTGAGGAGCCAATCAGGGCTGAGCAACCCCATTTAAAAAGAACCTGCAGGGAAAAGCAGGATCAGTTATTCCCTGGAGCTCAAAGAGGGAACACGGGCTGCCTTGCAGGTGGAGGGAAGTTAGCACCCTGGACAAAGCAGTGCTAGGTAAGAACAGAAGAAGAGCAAGCTCCTGGCTAGCTTCTAGGACTGGAATGCTGAGACCACGCGATGATGGCAAATAAGGTGCTAGCACCACTGGGAAGTGACTGCCATCACCATTGGGAAAGTGGTGAAAGTCTAAAACTGCAATATCCTCAGGAATTCCCAGTGTGGTGAGCAGAGCCCCATCAGTGTCCTAATCTTCATCACACTTTAAAAGAATTCTTCACAATGTAATTCAGCCCAGCTTCCTGATGATTTACTAGGTGCCCAATACTGCAACATGCTAAATTTCCTCCCATTCATTAGTTCCAATGGGAGTTATGCTAAGTTCTCTGTAAGATGCGTGGCCACGTGTGCCTTGAGTGTCCCCAATCAAACTTCCAGACTGATAGCTGAGCCAGGGACATCTTGAACCAGGTGCTTCTCCCCCACATTGTGAACATCAACACAGCGCATCCTGACTCCTCCACTGCTGCAGGCTGAGTGGCCCAGAGCCCCCTGCTACAACCTAAGCAGTCCAGCCCCAGAGCACCCTTGTCATGGGTCAAGAGGCCTGGACCCAGACCTCCCTGTGTAATGGTGGGAGTGACCGCTCATCTCCTTATCTCACCCTCTGTCCCAGCCCCACCCAGAATCCACACCTGCAGCCCAGGGCCAGCCCAAGTTTTGGCACCTGAGGCGGGGAGCTCAAATGACACCCCCTCATGCCACCTTTTCTACTGCCTGCCTGTTATGTCTTGTGCCCTCCTTCCTCCAGCACAGCACTCCACCATCTCTGTGCATCTAGAGCAGAGAGAATACATATGCATCAGCAACAGACAGTTTTCTACACTCTGGGTCCTAGAGGCTCCCCCTCACAGTTGGCACCTGAGACAGCTGCCTCAGTTCGCCTCATGGTAAGACCAGCCCTGTTCCAGTCCCCTTGCACTCCAACCTTCTATCCAAGTCCTGAGCCCCTCACCCCTGACCCCAGCCCATAGACTGCACCCACAGCTAGAGCCCTCATACTCTTGCACTCTCTGCCCCAGGCCTGAGCCCCCACTCACTCAGAATTCCTTGATTCCCTCCCCAGCCACATTAATTTTCTTATGTGCACCAATATGAAGATGTGTCACACAACAGCTCCATATTGGTGCTCAAAAGAAATCATTCCATTCAAGGGTGGGAAAAATTAGAGGGAATATCGGAATCAAGGATGCTCAGTAATCTGAAACTGAGCACTAGATGTTATTTAAAGATGTGCTGAGCACCTCACAAGATCAGGCTCTGGTTAAGATGGTTACCATTTTCTTCTAATGCTCAGGGAGGAACTTTATTAAAATAAGGAAAACTGAGTTTTCCCTTAAACTACTGTATCTACTTCACTATATAGCATCTACCTACATCCTTGCCTAACATCCAGCTACCAATTTAAAGAAAACTGGATGTGTATGTATTTATAGCTACATCTACATATTCACAGTGGTCTTACTACATCTGGGTTGAAATGCACTGGCAGAGTATGGGGGAGATGCTTCAATAGATGCGTCCGCTTGTAATTTTTGTGCTAGTTAACCTTTCTGGATTAACTACCCTAGAAATACCCGTGGCTAGTAGATTGCAACCCGGAAGAGCTGGGTTCAGGCGATCGCCGGACAGTGCGGCTGACGAGCGGGGCTCGCCGCAGTTCCGTGAGCCCTGTATATAATTAATAAAAATTACTTACATAGCAGCATCCACACTGTCAATGCTACAAACAGTCACTTTTCAACAAGATGGCCACTGCATGCTAAATTATTATTCAGGTGGAACAGAAGGGCTCAAGTATTTGAAGGTAATCCCTGCTGCAGAAACAGGTAAAATAACTGGAAGTTAGGTTGAAGACATTGAACCTTATGTCTTTTCTCAGTAAAGGACAAACACACCTCTGCCTCTAACAACCCAAGCGATTGCGTGCTGATCCTCCTTTCCCCAGTACGCTTCCATTTACACCTGCTCCATGCCTGAGAGTAATGGCTAAATCTGCACTGAACAGATATGAAATCTTGACTAAGTCTGAGGAACAAGCAAACTTCAAGTTATGATTTCTCTCATACTCGCTCAGGCTATGCCTACACTACGGGGAACGCATCTGCTCTCCCAGAAGCCCTGTCTTCCTCCTTCCATGAGGAAGAAGGGATCTTTCAAAAAGAGGAATTTTTTCCAAAATTTGGCCCAGTGTAGATAGTTTTTTTTCAGAAGAGGCTTTTCTGAAATTTGGCCTATCAGAAAAAGGTACGCAAATTGCAGAGTGCAATTTGCGTACCTTCTTCCGATAGATCATTGTAGTCTAGTCATAGCTATACTCTCTCACATGGCAGTACTGAATGTGCGAAGAATGAAGACCAAGGAAGAACAGACTGCATCTCTGCCTGATGAAGCTGCTATTTATCACAATTAGCCCAGTTAGAAACACAATACATAAAAACAATTATGCACTGAATTTCAAGGCCAAGTAGGATGTAAGTTGGTACATAGACTCTGTGACCAGAAGGAGCCATCAAGATCATCTAGTCTGACTTCCTGCACATTGCAGACTACAGAACCTTTCCACTTTCCAAACAGCAGCAACTATAGAGTTAAGAGCTGCAGCATTTTTAATTTTCTTCCTCTCTCATCAGGAGAGAAACAGTGAGGAAGAGACAGGGATTTGTTTCAATGTCTCTGCACACACTAGAGAACTGTAGAAGGTAACTCATCTAGAAGGGGCCTGAAACATCCAGAAGGATGTGGTAGTCAGCTTGCATTCCCAGTATTCCTCTCCCTCCCACAGTTTTATCAGAAGTCTCCTTTACAGGAATAGTTTTTCATGTTGACATCTTCAATCTGAGATAGATGTATAATACTATCCCCTCTGAATCCTGGGAGCTGCTTGAACCTTTGGTCTTGGACAACTGATCAGCCTAAGATAATAGGAAATCCACTGTCAAGACTGCCTCCCCAATATTTCAAGCAATTTTGAAACAAAAGTGATTGCAAGTTTTATCCATTAAGGAAACTTCCCGTTAGAGCAACATCTCTCACTGGGGAGCATATTATGGATGAAGTGGGAGAGCAGCTTTGTTATCTCTAAAGGCTAAAGACAATACAGACATTTATGTTCCACTGCTATCTGATTTGGATTCTTTCAGCCAGAACAATGGGAATACTGTGATAATTAAGGATGTACAAACCGTCCTAACACAATAGTGCTTCGAGCATCTTGAAGAATTTCATGGAAATTAATATTTATCTGCCTATCCAAAACCTGTAAAACTTTTGATAGAGGTTTAATAGGAGACTTGATTTTTTTCAGCTTGTAGCCAAATAATTTAAGGACAAATACTGATAGCTAAAAAGATTCATTGACCGGTGATGACAGAGATTGAAGTGTCTGAATAAACACTGGAGATACAGTATTTTATGAAGCTCTGAAAAAATCCAAGGCCCACTATTTTATAGTGTGGCCTAAATGTAACTTCTGAAATATCCAAGGGAAAAGAAGCCATGTGATCTATAATACAGAAATGTAAATATTATGCTGAAGTTTTACATTATGTGTAAGATTAGTAGAGGTATTCAAGTTGCTTTGGGAAGAAAAAAAATTAAGTCGCTTTTACATAAGAGGATTATGAAAATTTTTACTTGCTATGCAGTTGCATGGGACTTACAATTTAAAGACAACTGGACTGGAAGCTCTGTTCACCACTTATATGCAGTACTTAAATACACAAGCTCTGATTTAAATTGGTATGTTTTCCAGAAAGTCCTGGACAAACACAGTTTCTCTGGTAAATCGCAGAACAAAGTACTTGGAGAACGTAAGAGTAGTTGTATATAATTTATTCCACTGACCATCAACATTAGGAAAAAACTTCCTATTCAAACATGTATCTGAAAGAATAATAATTATATTCCATTTTGCATAGCTGTTCTTTGCTTGATTATTTTAGTTTTGAAATCTAGTCTTTCAATGACATGATTTAGAAACAGAGGAAAGGGTTAGAGAGACTAATTATGTGAGACAAAGCATCAGTGCTAAGACTTTAAAAAAATGTTTATACAGGGATTTGATGCTATGTCTGAGAAAGTCTGCACTGGATTTTAAACCAATTTAAGCAAAATTTTGTGTGGATAGTTATTTTGGTTTAGCTTAAACAGCTTCTTATTAAAACTTAAGTTAAACCAAAATATAAAGGCCTGTCTATTAAGCCTTTTGTATTACCGTAATTGAATTGACTTAAGATATTCACACTTTTAAACAGGAACAGTTAGCCTGCAGACAAGTCCTAAGTTGAACTCCTAAGACCAAGCCCTTATTTTTAGAAGCATGCAGTTCTAATTAAGTTCTGTGGGAGAGGCTAGGAACTCAGCACCACTGGAAAATAAGGCTACCAATTTAGGCACCTACATTCACGTTTAGAATTTTGATTTTAGGCACCCTATTCTGGCTCAAGTGTACAGATTTATCCTCTCTGGTACGTGGCTTTCTCCTGAAAGTTTGTACTTTAGCTAGGGGACACAATTGCTTTTCAGCTTGTACAGACTTGAACATATGGCTTCTCCACAAAGTTTACCATGACAGGTTGACGTATTTAGAGTATTTTTAATAAGTGAACTTTTCTACATTTTTTACTGTGCAAAAGCATTCAACCAATTGTCTGTAACTGTGGATCAACCATTCAAATAGATTTAAAAAGCATATATCATTTTATAACATGCAATGTTACAACTACAAAGTTATTTTTCAGAGAAAAAAACTGGAAAGTAAGAAGGACATTTGGTTACCCTACACCGCTTAAAAAAAAATAAAGCCACAAGTCCATCTTCCACTAGCTAAGACAGGGTGGGGAACCAAAGGCCCAGGGTCCAGCTCCAGCTCCCAGCTTGCTTGGATCCGGCTCTCGAGGCTCCCGGCTCCCCACAGCAGTGAGGAGCCTGTGCTGGTGCTCCAGCCCCATGCATTCCCCCATCGGGTTGGAGCACACGATCTACTAGCCTGCCTCCCCCCCACACCACTCTGGTGTGCAAGGGAATGGAGGGGAGGGGAGGGCAGGGTTTTTCTCCTTCTCAGTCGGGAGCCACATCACGGTGAGGGTTTGTTTGGTTTTTTGGCTTCACATGTGTGCAGCTCCCGACTGACTTTTCTGTGGGGCAGCGGCCCCTGACTCCAAAAAGATTCCCCACCCTGGGCTAAGAAATCTGTCCTGCCTCCATTAGATTTCAAGTAGAATATTTATTCCATCAATGTAGAGGAATTTAGGTTTTAGTTTTGTTTAAAATTTTGCACATGTTGCCTCTGTGCCAGATTCTTTGTCTTCCTCTGTAAAGTGGCCTTCCTCTTTTAGCTTTATTTGTCTGAAGTCTTCTCTGACTTTTCCCAGCAGGTCTGGTTTGAAGACAACATCTAGTGCAGTCATGGCCAAAGCTTTTGCTGCACGTAGAGTGTAGAACTGTGCTTCCTGAGACCCTGTGGTAAAACAAAAAAACAACTTCAGATAAAAGTCTAAATAGGAAAATGTGTTTGACAGCAAGCCACTCAAATAATTTAATACATTGGGAAATTAATTTTGAAAGAGACAAAAATCTCTGTGAAATCTAACTAAAACCTGTATTATTTGTTTTTACAGGAAGTCCTACTTGTAGAAAAGTCCAAATATAAAATGCCTGGAAATGAATAGAGGGATCCAGCCTCTCTGACAGCGCCATATAATTCTTTTTTTTTTAACCTGTAAGAGGAAGCTAGGTGGGAGGACTAGAGAAGGTTTATAATAAGCTTGACAATAAAGCAGAGTGCAATTAGTTTTTTAAAAACGCCCAAACACTTCATTAAACAAGTTAAGGCTGCTAAGTGATGCCTACCACCCTTCTAAAATGTGAGGTGACTAAACTTCTACTCTTCAGGTTTAATGTTACGGTACGTGCCATGTATGCAATGCAGCCTTAACTCTGCTGACTCAAGCGACAGCCAAACACATACACGCACTTTCCTTTCAGACACCACAGAATGGTTTGGAACCAGAACTAGCAATCTTAGATATTGTTTTGTTTAATAATCATGTAACTGCACCAAATCTTAGCAGTTACACAGTTATTCAATGGTCCCTGGGGGCAGGGCTGACAGCCAGTGTGTTTCCAGCCCCACTCCCAGGGAGCCCCCTTCCACACCAAGCTGCTGCCTCTGCTGTGGGGTGGCAGGCGGGAGCTGGTCTGTGAGGGGAGCCAGTTTAAAAAATCATGGAACTGGGGTATTGTACATAAAGGGCCCGTGGTTCCCAATAGGGCCAATCTGAAGGGTCAAAGTTTGGTTGGTGTGATTACCCACACCTTCTTGGAAATCCTGTCTGTGCTAACTTCCCTGAGTTCAGGTGTTAACTATTCATCTTGGACATCCGATTTGCCAACAAGGTGGCTAGATCTAGGCCCAATAGTGGTAAAGTCTGTATCGGGGGAGTAAATTCCAGCTCATGGATGAAACAGGGGAGTGACTTCTTGAGGTGTACCCTATGCTGGGATATATACATAATTCAGAAGGACCAGGCTTGAAAAAGAGGAGATTGGAGGGCTAGGAAGACTAAGATGTCCTTTGTGGTAGCCTGTGTCACAGTTCTTCCTGTAATACAAGGCATCCGGGTTGTCAGTTCCATCAGATCCAGCGCCGTTGAAGATATAGTGATCAGTGTGTCCTTCAGGGATTGCATAAGTATTGCTAGAGAGAGGGAATCCTGTCTCAATCTATTCATTGGTATTGACAGTCGATAGTCCTTTGACTTATTAGAGGTTGCAGTTAATAGTGGGACCCATACCATCAGAGATTTGCTCATGTGCTTTCCCTTAATGGTCAGGAGGCCAAGGCATACCTAAGTTCTTGGAACCTAAAAACCAAGATTCATCCAAATTGGAAGGTGTTAAAAAAACAACAAAAAAACCCACACCTTCTGCTGGATATTCATTTAGAGGAGAACCTGTTTTTAATACTCATGAGATGCTCAAAACAATGGGTCTTAAACTGAGTCAACTTTTGCTTGAAAGTTTATGCTCAAAGGGAGACTGCTTGTCTCCAGACGATCTAGAGGAGGGAATCTCCATGGCCTGGATTTGATTGGTGTAATTTTTCTTCCTCCATGATTGTACTTTCTCAATCTGAATTCCACTTCCCTCCTCCCCCACTAATATGGGATGGAATGACATATCCACCGCACTTGGCAAAGACTGGAGCCTCTGGAAGAGAGTAAATATAGTGCTACTGGTCATCACTAAATGGGATGCAGCAAAGGCAGGAGAGTTTTCAAATCCCAGAATTCCAGGCAGAAGCCTAATCCTGAAAAGGGAGACAAATAGGGTCTCCGGGATAAGTAAAAATCTATCTATGCTAACAATAAAAATCACTAATGAGCTCTATTCAAATGAAGACAAACTGGATGCAAAGATTCTTTTAGTGTCCAAAGGTTTCTGACAGGCCATGCAGCACGAAGAAGAAACTGAAGAGGCAGTTGGTCTGGTGGAGGGCAACAGGAGAACCAGAGCAAAGGTGCAGACCAATGGATGCTGTTTGCAATATTTTCCTGGCTTCCGACGTATGCATACCGATTGCGGAATACATACAGGGACCAGCACTTGAAGTCCAAGTTGTTGTTTGACAAAAGACTGGAATGGTTAAGGTGGCAATATGACAACATAGTGAGTCAGAACCAGAGTTTCCAGTCTGGTTTGAAAAGCCCAGCCAGCAACAGAAAGTTTAAAGTCATTTTAAGCTAGGGAACAACTATTTAGCTTATTATCCAGTCTTGATTTTTGGGATTTTTTTTTTAACAGCATAGTTCAACTCCTAAAATATTTACTGAATACATACCATTGCTATCTCCATAACTGTGGGATCACTGTTGTACCTAGAACTTTACAGGCTTACCATAAAAAGATTCAAACCTAGTGCCCTATTGCTTAGGATGGCTTCGCATCCTATCTGGGCCACAACAATCCCTTTTCTAAGCCCTGTTCTGGCCAATCTGATTTGTGGCAAAAGCGGGCAATTAATATTCTGCATGTCCAGCTCTTCCAAGTGTTCGTACTTTGATGGATTACTGTTGGTTCTATCTATTAGTCCTTTGGGCTCCTAATGGAGCATAGAGCCTCCACAGTCATTTAATTTATAGTAAATACTAACTGATGAAAACCAAATGTTTTATATACAGCCTCTTAGCAGTTACTTATATCTACATTAGTCTCAAAACAACTGCACAGATACTAGCAAACTAATTAATAGGTGGTCAATTTCCATTCTACAAAGCAACATTTGCTACTAATTTGCTTAAAACCAACATTTTTATAGGAGAGAAAGTAAAAACTGTATAAGACAAACTTTGAAGTAGGGATGTAAGTGACAAGTCGACTATCTGATAAGCATAATCTTATCGAATAGTTGACTAGTAATGTGACTAGTTGCTTCCCCCACCCCCGGCCTCAAATAGAAGCAGCAAGGAGGGGAGGGGAGAGAAACAGGAGCTGGTGCTGGGGGGGAACGGGCTTAAAAACTGGTTCCCCCCTGCATTGTGTCTGTGGGGGGCAGAAGAGGTAGAGGAACAACAGGAAACGGTATGAGCAAGAACTGAAGCAGTCTCTGCTCATGCTGCTTCTGCTGCAATTCTGCTTGCGAACTGTACAAAAGCCACAGGGATCCCTGTGGTGTTTCCTTTTGAAATGTACAAGAGCCCTGCTGGCTGAGATGGCTGCGGGAGCATGGGGCCAATTGGGGAGCCTTGGCAAGGCTCTTGCTGCAGTTCAAAGGCAGAGGTGCCCTTATAGACTAATCAAATAGACGACAGAAATCCCATCGACTATTCGATTAATCTAAATTTAACATCCCAACTTTAAAGCCACATTCAATCAAGTACTTACCCTAACGATCGAGTGCTAGCAAATATTCTTCTATATTTAAAATATCACCTATAAATTATAGCCCTGTTCCTGCAAAAGCTCTTACCTGCAGCTGTAGTATATAGCTCAGTATGGTTCAATGTATCTGTGCCAATGTAAAAATAGGGATGAATCCCAGGAACCACATATGTAACGTTTCCGAAGTCAGTGGAGCCTGGGAAGAGAAAGGAGGTTGCTCAATGAACAAGTCTAATAAAAAGTGGTACATTATATAAAAAAGCCTGGGATATGCACCTGAACTGTAATAAAATAGTACAGTATTCTTGTCTAGAATATTTCCGGTAATAAAGAGTCAATATCTACTTAATTTTGCACATCTATTCAATGGCAGACCACATGGAACAAATTCACTCAAATACAATGCCTCCTTACACTACAGATCAGGAGGTACAGAAATGTATAAGTTGCACCTCCCTGGTGTGTAACCCTCTGGACCTGCCTGGTCCCGAACCAGGGAATTTGTCAAACTGGGGAAATCAAGTCGGGGGGGAGGGGAGAGGAGAGGAGGACCTGCTTTCCCTTGGCCAACCTGGGATTCTGCTTTTCCCCAGGAAGCTCCACAACCACCCAGGGCTCCGCTCTCCCTGGCAGGCTTTCCCCAGAGCTCCTCTTCCCCTCGCCTCACCCGTGGCTTCGATGTTACCCAGGGCTTTGTGCTTCCGCTGGTGGGCTCTGCTTTCTCCCCAATGGTTCTTCTGCCACTGCCTGAGGGCTCCACTACTGACTGGCAGCAATGCACTTCCCCCAGCACCATGTTGCCACCCAATGCTCCCTATGCCCCCACCCCCATCAGCTTTGCTGCCACCTGTGAGACTCTGACATTAAACAGTTGCTGTGTTTATTAACTGACAGAGACCTAACCTCAAAATGAGAAAAAACAAGAATTCCACTGTTACCTGATGAACCATTCAAAAAATAGTTGTCAGTAGTGAATTCCATTCCAAGCTCTTTTCCATTCTCTATATAGGAATTCTCTAGGCTCTTGTTCTGAAGCACATTATAGTAGTCATGCCTTCCACCTTTGATTTCCACCTCATCAAGAAAAGAGAAAAGTTAAATTTTCATATCATTTCAAGGCTACATTAAACCAAATGTCAGGTTTTAAAACAAATCAATGCTTCATTTACATTTTATATCACACAGAGATTAAGAGCAAAATTTAAGAGTATAATTTTCTTTTCAAAAGACGTGAGCATTTGACTGTCAGCATTTAGTTAATGCTGCCCTTGAACAAAAACAAAGTTGGAGGAATTGTGATAGTTTCGTACTAGGAAACAAAGTCCCCACAAATAAGAATCCTGGTGGAAAGCATCTTCAGACAACAGAAATTATCAAGGCCTGGTTTACACTAGAACATTAGCTCAATGCAAGTCTCCTAATGTTGATCTATTTCTGCATGTGCATGCTCATTTTCTCTGACCAAAATAAGCACCCCATTACAGCAACAGTAAAACCACCACCCTCTCCATCCTAAGCAGTGATGACCCATGGTCAATCTGCAGAGGTTGATGCAGCACAAGTATAAATATTGAGTGACCTACATTGATCCTAACAGTCCTCTGGCAGCTGATCCACAATGCCCTATTCCCTGCAACAGTGACCACTGTGGTCTCACAATTGTCAATTCCATTGTCCAAGAGACAGAGATCAGAAACCACAAACTCCATCAAAAACATCCCTGTTATTTTTTTAAAATGTTTTTTCCCCAATTCCCCAGTTTGGTGAGCTTATCTAGCAGCTCTCCCTTGTTGGGCAGCTAAACACAATCAATCATGTTGGCTCCATGCATTAGAAATCATCTCTTGTCTGCATCAGACAAGAGATATTGGAACTCCTAGGCCTGTGGAAAGAGAAGAGTGTGCAAGCACAGCTACAAATGAGATGTACTAAGGTGACCATCTAAGAAAAAACTGCTGAGGGAATGCTGACAAAAGGGTATGACAGAAAGCAGCAGCAGTAGGATGTAAAGGAACTGCACCAAGCAAGTCATGGGATCAGTGAGGACAACTGATCTTGTGCTAAGCCACAAACCTCTGGTTTTACATTGAGCTGTGTACCATATCTGACAGACCCCAAAAGCATTCTGCAGACCACCCTGGGTACCTTGGAGAAGTCCAAGAGAGTGTCATCAGCCACAAGCCCGATGAAGAGGAAGGGACCTGAGATAAACAAAGGCATGCATTTTTCCTTGCGTTTAAAGATGGCACCCACCCCAACCTGAAGTTAAGACACAGGTATCGACTTTTCTTGTATTAGTAAAAGAAAGAAGAGACAATGATACAATAAACTGAGGTACAGCTGATATCTGCTTTTCTTTCCCCTGTATGCAGAAGCACCATGCAGAGCAGTTTGATTAATACATAAGGACTGTCCCTTGCCTCTTCCTGAGAATCTGTATGGAACTTTCATGGAGATACTCCACAATAGTGTCTCAAAGATTTCTAGGAATGGTAACCTTATTTCCTTTCCTGCAGAACACTTTCCCGTGCCACTCCATGAGTTTGGCTGCCACCATTGCAACAAACAGGACAGTAGTGTACAGAGACAGGCAGCTACAGGATGCCAAGAGCATTTGTGCTGTGTGTGCTTTTGCTACACTCAGGAATGAGACTTCAACTAAAACCATCACTGACTTGGGAAATATTCAGTGTCATTGCTCTCTACTCTTACCCAAGCAAAAGGGACTGAAATTATATTGTCCCTGAGTATTCCTTCCCACCTCCTAGAAGGCTATACTCATCATAGCTGGGATTAGATAACAGGGCTATGCAGAAATGTTCCAAAGCTAAAATGTCAATATGTATGTCTTACTAAAAGTTTTAATGCAAAAAAAAAGGGAAAGGAGTTTTGAAATTTCTCTCTTTTTGTTGTAAGGGTATATCCAATAAGGATATTAAGTATCGACTAATTAAATAGTTGATGCATTTTGCATCAACTATTTGATTAGTTGATAGGGCACCTCCCCCTTTGAAAAGTGGAGGTGCCGCGTGGAGCCTAGGGTCAGCGGGGGAGTCTCCAGCTGACCCCAGGCTCCATGCAACACTACCGCTTTGAAATGCCATGAGAAGCCTGAACATCATGCTCCCTGCAGCCTTTCAAAGTGGCAGCACTGTATAGAGCCTGGGATCAGCTGGAGAGTCCCCAGCTAATCCCAGGCTCCACTTGGTGTTGCCCCTTTGAAACACCACGTGCAGCCTGGAGACCCCCCAGCTGGCTCAGTGTTTCAAAGCAGCAGTGCTGCATGGAGCCCAGGATCTGGCCCCAGGTTTCAAGCAGTGCTGCCGCTTTGAATTATCCCCTCTACTCCCTCTGACCTTGCTGCCTCTATCTGATAGAAGCAGCAAAGGGGCGGAGGGGGAAGCGACTAGTTGACTGTCCTGTTGACTATCCAATAAGCATTTGCTTATCGGATAGTCAACTAATCATTCACATCCCTAATATCCAATGAAACATCTGTTTTATCAGTAGCTGCTGCTAAAACACCCACAAAACACCTGATCCTGATGATGAAGAGAAAGAAAGGACACACTGAGCAGCAGAGTGCAAACAAAGAGCCTGGAGAGTCAGCCTGGCAGACAGCCCCCAGAAGAAAAGAGTGGACAGGAGAAAGGCTCAGGACAAGCACAGGGAATAGACCATAATGGTCTTTTCAGGCAATACACCCAGTAGCTACAGACACCAATTGACAAAAAAATGTCAGACTTTCTGCCCTTTGCAGTCCTTGGCAAACTCCATAGTAGTAGTTCCTACATCCTCCAGCATTTCACAGGATAGTAACCTCACCACCACCACTCTATGCTGGGAAATGAGAAAAAAAAAAAAAAACTATCCCTTCATACACAATAACTGTGGTTCTCGCAGGTCGGCATATATGTAAGCTACAATAGATGTCTGGAAGCAGGAAATATTTATTTTTCAGTGCACAGTTTTAAAATTCCGCCCTTAGAAGTTTGTATTGAATTTGCCTGTTTCTCTGCATTGTTTTTGGTCTTTCTGTTCAGAAAAACTATTTTTGGACATCAAATTATTGTTATTAGTTCACAACAAATCTCAGAATGCATAGCAGTAATCAAAGAACCCATTGCTCGTAAACGTAGGGCACCACAGAACTTATAAATTCAGAAAACCACCCAGACATTAATTAAAAAAATAGGGCAAGTACAACACAATTTCTAACAATCCTCAAAGCTTCAGGGCCAGAACAGTACTGTGGCTGACCATTAAAATGTTCTTTCAAAGCCTTCCTCAGACACACATAGGGATGTTAAATTTAAAATGAACTAACTAATCAAATAGTCGATGGGATTTCCATTGACTATTCGATTAGTCTATAAGGGCGCCTCTGCCATTGAACTGTAGCAAGAGCCCTGCTGGACTCTTGCTACAGCTACAGTTCAAAAACAGGAGCCCCGCAGGGAGCAGGGGCTTCCTTTTGAAATGTACAAGAGCCCCAAACCCGTGCTCCCCTGCTGCGCCTCAGCCTTTGAAACAGCCTTCGTACTTTCCAAAAGGAAGCCCCAAAGGGAGCGCGGGGCCAGTGGAGCACTCCCACTGGCCCCATGCTCCCTGTGGCGCCTGAGCCTTTGAAATGTACAAGAACCCTGGTGGGCCTCTTGTCCATTTCAAAAGGAAGCCCCGGTGTGAGCACGGGCCAGCAGAGGAGTCCCCACTGGCCCCACGCTCCTTATGGGGCTCTTGTAGATTTCAAAAGCAGAATCGCAGCAGAAGTGGTGCAAGTGGAGACTACTTCAGTACTGGAGTAGAAGAACTGGAGTTCTTCAAGATGTGTCCCCGTGGGTGCTCCACGTAGGTGTCAGTGCCACTGTACACATGGCCCAGAGATCTTAAGTAGCAGTCCCCCAGCACCTGCTGCGCTATTGTGCAATCGCTCAGTTTAGCATTCTCCGGTGGCCATTCCCTCTGTTCCTTTTCCACGCCAGACTCTCTCAGTCCTGAGCAGAGGGGAGTTTGGGTGTGGAGCACCCACAGGAACACATCTTAAAGAACTGCAGTTATTGCACAAGGTGAGTAACCTTCCTTTCTTCTTCAAGGGTCCCCTTGGGTGCTCTGCTTAGGTGACTATTCAGTAGTATTCCTGCTTAGCAGTGGGTGCTCTGTGTTGCAGGGCTGGATGTTGGACAGTATGGTACGTCCAAAGCTAGTGTGAGTCCTGAAGGGACTGAATAGCGTACGGTTGTGCAAAGGTATTGGGTGAAGCCCATGTTACCGCTCTGCAAATGATGTCTATTCAAAGGCCCTTAAGAAATGCAGTTGTGGTAGATACTGCTCTGGTGGAGTGTTGGTGGCGGTCTGTGTTTCTGGAAGTAAGCCAATTGTATGCATGTAGAAATCCATTTGGATATTCGTTGTTTGGAAACAGGTTGCCCTCTGGACCTATCTGCACAAGACACGAATAGTCTGGGAGTATGTCAAAAGTCTCTTGTGTGTTCAAGGTAAAAGGCTAATGCTCTGCATACATCCAGCGTGTGCAACACTGCCTGATTGCTGTCCCTATGTGGTTTTGGGAAGAACACAGGTAAGTGTATTGTTCATTTCAGTGGACCAAGGTAGGCATCTTGGGAAGGAATTTCGGGTGGGTTCTAAGGACAACTGTGTCTTTGTGGAACACCAAGTACAGCGGGTCCATCATGAGTGCCACTATCTCTCCCACTCTCTTAGCTGATGTTATCACTATGAGAAAAGCTACTTTCATTGACAGGTGGAGTAATGAGCAAGTTGCGAGCAGCTCAAAAGGCCGTCTCATGAATGAGTCCAGCACAAGATTCAAGTGTCATGATGGTACTGGGTCTCTATGTGGTGGATAAAGGTTCCATATTCCTTTCCAGAATCTCTTCACACACAGGTGGGAAAAAAATGGAATACCCCTGTACGGGTGGGTGTATCAGATATAGCTGTGAATGGTATGCAGTATCTGGTTCGTATTATTGTTAGGACCTATTGGTCTGAGGTGATGGTCTTCCATGCTGCATAGAATTCTGCGAATCTGTTTCCAAAGGTCTGTTTCCCTAGATCTGCCTGCCCTGGAGAATTGAAGGCTACTTTATCCTCAATCTACACCTCAAATTTGCTGATGGGAGTTGGACCCCCGGGTTGAGGATGTTTGTTCATTTGATTGTCTTCAACTAGACTGTCTCTCACGTCTCTTGTTATCATAGGGCCTCTGTTGTTGGTTATACCCTGTTGTTCTGAACCTTTGATTATATTGTTTGTCTTGTTTCTTCCTGGATCCAGGCAGCTGAATCCTTAACGTACGAAGTGTCACCCTGGAGTCTTTAAGGGTGTGGAGAGATGAATTCATTGCCTCAGTAAAGATTTTCTCTCCCTCAAATGGAAAGTCTTCGATGTTTGATTGTACCTTGTTGGGAAACCTGGACAGTTGCAGTCATGACATTCTCCTCAGCACTACAGAGTTTGCCATAGACCTGGCTGCTGTATCCGCTGTGTCCAACACTGCTTGTAGCGCTGTGCAGGAGATCAGACAGCCTTCTGTCACATTTGATTCAAATTGTTCCTTTATCTCTTCTGGTAGATACTGAATAAAGAAATTGAAGGTTTTGAAGGTCTGGTGTGACTATTTTGCTAACAGAGCTATGTAATTAGTAATTCTGAGTTGAAGGGAGACTGACGAGTATGCCTTCTCCCCCATAGCATCCATCCTCTATCTCCTTGTCATGATTCTGCACTGTGGAGTACTGCTGCTGTTGCTTCCCCCGATTGGCACATTTGACAACCAACACATTCAGTGCAGGGTGTTAGAATAGGAATTCTACCCCCATAGGTGTTACATGGTTTTTCGTTGAAGTTGACGGTACTGATGCCGGGGTCTTCCGTATGGCCTTAGCCAGGTCCATTAAGGCCAATTTGGTGTGCTGAGGTAAGTTAAATATGCTGGTAAGCTTGTGTTTCTTCTGCATTACATCTGGGAATTATATATCTAGAATGTCCACTACCCTGCAGAATAGGTCTTAAAACTTTCTATAGTCATAATCTCTTATTGGTGATGTAGGTGGACTGTAGTCGTCCATCTTGGAGCATGATGTATTAGGAAGGATAAGGAAATCTTGTGTTGCTCCCACCATCAATGACTTGCTGTCATGGCTGCCTGGGCTGTAGTCAACTGATCCCCGCATGTTTGCATCAGCTGACTGAGCACTTGGTACCTGGAGGGTTTGTTGTAGTTGTTGATTCTGTAGGGTGCCCATGGGTCCCAATAGGACCACTGTGGTGAGAGCAGTGGGGTTACCTATTGTGCCATCTGCCAATTCTGGCGTTGCTGTTGCTCTGTTGCAGCGTATTGAGTGACTCTGTGCTGGCCCCTTGTTTCCTTCTTGTCATCATCGCTAAATCTCGCTGATATTAGTGATGCTGGTGTGGAATAGTATGGAACCTCTAGACGTGGTGTGACGTTGGTACCAAATAATGGTGAGCATGATACGGACAGTACTGCAAGATCTGTCTCAGTACCAGGGGTAGCACTGCCATCACTATAAAGCCTGCCATTGCTAGATGCATCTGTGTATTCAGCGCTCTGGAGCGCACTGGTACCAACGGTACCGTGAGTTTGTGCGTGGCATTCCGCTGCTTTGCAGTCTGCCCGCTTTTTTATCTGCTACTAGTACCAACTTCTCCTGAGGTACCGCAGGCTTGTTCTAAGGAGAGTTCAAAGCTTGGCCAGCAGCTCTATGCTTCACTTTGAGATCACTGACTCTTTTTGAGCAGGATCCCTTAACCTGCACCACTAGATTTTTCACTAGTCAAGACTGTTTTGTTTTGTTTTTTTAACTTGGGCAAAATGATGAGAATACTTACTTATATGCATAAGACTGGGGAAAGCTTTAGTTGAAACAAAAAATCTGTATGTAGAATTATAGCAATTAAATGTTGTGCCTCACCAACAACATTTTTCAGCACTAGCGGATTAGAACTTACAGATCTAAATTTTAGGTTGCTTTAAAAAAAGGTAAGTGTCATACAAATCATAAAGACTTAAACTCCTACTTTGGCCTAATTTAAAAATTATAAAAATAAGTGAATCATCTCTAGAGTTCTTACTTTGCATTTTGTAGCTAAAGCTGCAGCTCTGAAGCAATTTTCAGCTCTCTCTGTCAGAATGGCGAGGTCCTTCAGCGAAGGGGCACGCAAGTAAAATTCTAGCTCAGTGTAAGAAGGGATGATATTAGGTTTCACACCACCATTTTTTATTATACCTACAGAAGAGAAAAGTCCAATTTTTAAATGTTGCAAAGAACTAATCTTACATACTCTTCTTTTTGAAGCTCCTTATTTATAGCTGAACACATAAAACAAGTTATTAGAGATCATGCATCAACTGAGCACTGAGAATGCACACTATTTAAAACTTTTTGTATTTGGACCCAATTCTTTCCCCCTTGCAGTCAGTTCAACAGAAAGAATATCACGTGTACAAGGTGAGTGATGTAAAATCTTTAATTAGACTAAACTTTTGTTGGGGAAAGGGAGCGTGCATGATATATTGTGAAAGCTTACAGACTTTTAAAGTTTGTATCATGGCATTCTTTCGGACACATCTCATTTATTCATCTTGAGTTCACACACAAAGAGCCAAAGTAGTATTTAAAATTCTCTATATTCACTGATCCACAGTTTAGAATGTTTACAATCTTGTTAACACTGGGACAAGAAGGGAAAATTAAAATAATGGCTATGAGACAAGTTCACAAATCAAATGTAAGCACTTAGTTTAAATATAGCTAAATAATTCTCCTGAGTTTAAATTACACAAGCATACATCATGATTTTCACATTCCTCATAGGTACAGGAACAGTGGTAGTATTAAGTTAATCTTTTAAAAAACAGCATCCTTACCTATGTTACAAATACTTCCTTGGAATCAAAAATTTGAAGGGGGTTTTGAAACTTTGTTTTATGCTATGTGTTCCTATTTTGCTTTGCTAGTTTGGACAAAGAAAAATTCAGTTGGGTTCTGGTCAACTTCAACTTCTTCTCTTTTAATACGCTGCCATTAAATTTGAATTCATTGAAAAAATAATTGGTATTTGCTGTCACAAAGGGGAAAACCAGCTCACTAGTATCCTCATTGAGTCTTGCCATTCTTTGGAAACATTTCCATTGGTCTTAAATTTTGTAAAATCTCATTTTCTTATAAAGCCCAAGTTTGGAGCCAAGTCTGAACAAAACAAAAAAGTGTTCCTTCATACTAATGGTTACTAGTCCATCATGTCCAGATATGGAAACAGAAAAAGCAGGCTACTGAATTAAGTACTTTCTTTTTGTGTTCTACATGCTTTATTCTGCAACATTAGAAATCTTTCCACAATAGCTAGCTATTTTTTGTTATCACAACTTCAGTGGGAAGAGACCTGTTACCATCCCATACCTGCCAATTATAGTTGGCATGAGTTATAGCTCCAACCAAAGCCAAGAAACCAATTTAATGTTAGTACACTTGAAATTCAAGGCTTTGAAACAAGAATAATGGATGGATTCCAGCAAACATTATTTTGGAGAAACAAGGAACTGGCAAATAGGCAATCAAGCAGACTGTGCAATGCACATTACTACAATATGTACTTTTCCAAAGAAAGAAAGTTAAGGACAAAAATAGTTCAAAGATATGCTGTAACAACTGGAAAAAGCCTCAGAACAGAACACTGATTTTCCAAGTACCTTTGGCAAGCTAACAACATTTTTAATATATTCAGTTTGAGAAAGAAAAAATAAGCCTTCTTGGAAACCTGGCCGTAAGCCTCCACCTTTCCATGAAAGTTAAACTTTTGAAGTATTGCTAAAGAGAGGTCTCAAGATGTACTTCTGTTTCCATGAATCAGAGGTCTAAAATATATTTCAATACCAGAGGACAGTTTTACAAGCTCAGGTTCCTTAGGAAGTTACAGCTGCTGCCTCAACACAGTGATAAGATGCTTGTATCTGTCAAAGGAAGCTTTTATTGCTTATGTTAGATCTTGATCCAGATGGTCAAGTTTCCCCCAAAAATGCTATTTCCAGTTTACAAAGCAATTTAATGATTACAGCTATACCAACAGAAGATCTTCATAATAAGTGTCTCTGTTCTTTGATAATTTAGCAGCTATGAAGTGCTATATTAACAGTTCATGTAAATATTAAATCTGCACTATGTCTCTCATTTGTGCAAAGGAGGGTGGGGAAAGGAGAGAATACTTATGACTTTAGGCCATACTACCCTTTGATTGGTATGCATTCAACCATTCATACTAAATGTTGACAGTTCCTTACAAAAGGAACTTCTACAGTATTTAGATGAAAAAATTATTTCAATTTACTTTTCCAGTTTAAAGTAACAATGCAATATTTAGGATTTTTTTTCAGTCAGTAGCCAAACAGCCAGAAGCCTTACTTGGTGGACATAAGATTGAATGAAGCTCTCTCACCATGAACTCTCCAGGTTGGTTTCATTTGCTGTCTTAAAACTGACATATTGTTGTAGGCAAGAACAGCAGCGTCTAATGCATTTATTCCTTCCCAAGGATAAGCAGCAGCATGAGAAGCTTTTCCATAGTATTTCACAGTCACACTAGGAAATAAAAGCCATGACTTATTTGTTTTTGTTCACTTTTAAAAAACTAAAAATCACCCAATAATATTGGAGTCACCCAATAATGATTACAATTTTATATCAATGTTTTTGAAGCACAAGATTAAGATGCTATTTACCAGGCATTAAGCTGCTGGGAAGCTAAACCATCTTTCATCATTTTCATACTCAAAACATAGATCCTGAAAGAGGGTTAGAAGTCAAATTTGTCCTTTCCCTCCCCAAACTCTGCCAACACTCCAAAGTTGAAAACAAAATAGACAATGCACTACATGCATTTTAAAAGCTTAACAGATTTGAAGTAAAAAGAGCAATATCCTGCTATACAAATTGCTATCCACTTTTTGTCACCTAAAGTCTTATTACACACCTAACGATTTAACAGAAGCCATGATATAGGCCAGTGGTCTCCAACCTTTTTACACCCAAGATCACTTTTTAAGTCTCAGAACAGGCAAAGATCTACTGCCCTGCCCCTTCCTAGAAGCCCCGCCTACATTACATGAGGAAATCTAATGTAAATGTACTGCGCAGATGCGCAGTTCAGAGAGGGCTGAAGAGCTACTCTTAGAGCCCCTGAGATCTACCGGTAGATCGCGATCTACTGGTTGGTGACCACGGATATAGGCTAACAAAGCCTCTTACCTCCCCTTCAGAAACTGGTAGCATTTCCTGAGCATCAGTAAAATGAGCCAGAGAAGAAAATTAGATTTGAAGCAGGATGTAATAGTATAGTCGATTAACCGATAAGCAAAAGCTTATAGGTTAATGCTATAGACTATACACATTCCCCTCACCCCCAGAAAGGGGCTGCTGCCACCCCATGCTGCTGCCTCAGAGGCAGCAGCACGGAACAACAAGCAGCCAGGAGAGCTGGTTTTTAAACGGGTTCCCCTCGTGGACCAGCTCCCACCTGGTACTCCATGCTGCTGCTGCCTGATACAGGGGCAGCAACGTGGAGTGGAAGGGGGCTCCTAGCTGCCAGCCCTGTGCCCAGGGATTATAGAATATTCACGTAACCTATAAGAATTAATGAGGTTAACTGACTATTCAACTGACCAATATTAACATCCCTAGATGAAATTACATGAAAAATTGTTAGAGAAATCGGTTGTGATTTTTCTGCTTCCCTTCTTCTATATGTGACTTATAAGAATATGCAGCTAGAGAAGATAATAGAAGTTGGAAATTCAGGTAAGTAGAGATTTTTTGCACATTGTTAAGGCAATTTTCAACAGGATCAACATGTCTACGCTGCAACCTAAGGTGTGATTGTACTTTTAATCTAGCTTACTTGGATAAGAATAGCATGGAAGCCGCTACAGATGCATCATCATGACTATTTTAGCCATGCAAGCTAGATTAAAGCTAGCACAGGCATGCCTACGTGAGATGCAATCACATCAACTGCAGTGTGAACAGAGTCTAAAGGTTAAAGTGCTGGTCACCAACACAATAAGATACATTGTACAAATAACAATTTACTTTCAAGTCCCTTTTTGAAAATATCAGATCTATGCTTCTAAATTCTTGCCTATTAATAGCAAGATTTTTCCTTAGTTTTCAATAGCAAGAACTGATTGTGCTCTTGAATGTATTTAGTCGTAAAGACCAAAAAAATCTGTAAATTAAAGAAAAACATATTTAGACATTCAAGAAATACAGAGTTAAGGATGAAGATAAAGAAAACACTTGTCCATGGGATAAAAATGTGTAAAGCCTCTTAACTATTAGCCATCTATTTTCCTTTGACATCAGTTTTCATTAAAGTCTTGACATTTGAAGTCTTTTAAGTTTGGAGAGGAAACACTGAATACATGCAACATTAAATATGTGCACCAGATTATTGGTTTTTATAATATGCACCACATGAACATATATGGCTGTATGATACTCTGTAGTAGCTATTCTTTGTGTATACTTCCTATAGTTTAATTATAATCTTTTATAAGGCTCAGATAACACAAAAAACATTCACTGTTTAATGACACTTGTCTATCAGTGGTACTTAATAGGGATGTAAAAGGTTAATCTTAATAGGTGAGGCTTACCAGTTCTATTTAACCAGTAAGGGCTCGAGCAACAGCCCACCCACCCCATGCAGAAGGCTGCTCTAGCCCCACAGGGACCACCAAAAAAGCCCCAGTCTAGACAGGGCCAAATGGCGGGGAAGCCTCCTCTTTCGGTGGAGTCCTTATGCCTTGTGAAACGAGGCATGCAGGGCTCCCCAAAAGAGTGTTTGCTCTTCCACTTTTTTTCAAGGAAGAACAATCCCGCAACCCCTCTCCCCCCCCAGCAGCCTAGACGCTGCCTTAGATGCATGAAATGGAAGCCCTACCTGTGACGCGCCTGGACCTGCCATGGACAGGGGCTCCTCCAGGTGGCTGGCGCAGCCCCAGTCCACAATAGGCCCTGTGGCAGCCTCCTGCCCATGCTAGGTGGAGAGCTGCTCCAGCCCCGACTGGTTAACCGGAACCTGTAAGCATCACCCGTTAAGGTGATGCTTACTGGTTAAGCTTTCACATTGCTAATTCTGATGGTGTAAAGTTTGAATTCCAGCTCAGAAGTTTCGACCTGCAGTCTGTTTTGAAGGTTTTTTTTCCCCCACTCAGGTATGGCAACTTTGAAGTGTTCCTGTGTATGCAGGGAGGTTAAAATGTTCTCCTACTGGTAACTAAAGTCAATATAGCCACTATACACTTCAAATTAGGATAGTCTAGTGATCATTAACAGGATATCTTGTTAATCATCTCCCAGCCCCCCCCCCTTGCAGGAAAGACCTGAGTAAAAGGCTTGCCTGGTTAGGACTAAGAACCTTTAGCAGCAGATTTTGCCTGCAGCCATTACCAGGGGTGGGCTTAAAGCCAGGAGGCTGCCACTGGTGGCAGGCCATGCCAAAGGGTCAAGCCAAAGGATGCTGCCCTTTGGGAGAGACCGAGGGCAAGGGCATGCGTTGTGGTAGTTTATGTGATATAGTATAATTTTTTAGTGTGTGTTTGTGCATGCTGGTGAGAGCAGCACACTTATTTGTGTGGTGGCCTATTCAGTTCCTGGTGAGAGGAGGGAAGAGTTCTTGGTGAGGGAAATTTCCCTTACCTGCCCACACTGAAGGTCAAGGAAGGGTTGTGTTTGTGTTTCTTTTTCATTATGTGTTGTGGCACAGATGGCGTGGCTAAGGGGGAGGATTCAGATGGCATTGTGGCAGTTGTGGCAGGTAGGGGAAAATATGGCAGTAAGATAGGGACGGGCCAGTTACAGGGAATGAGGTTAAACAGTTATGTGCTATTCCTTGTTCTAGTTCTGTTCCCAGCCTCCATGACTCTGGGAACCTTAACACCTGGGCATCAGCCCTGAGGGTGCTGCTGCTGAATGCCAGGTCGGTATCCCACAAGACAGCTATCATCCATGATTTAATCCTGGATAAAGGGGCCAACGTGGCTTTTATCACTGAGACCTGACTAGAAGTGGAGGGAAATATTGATCTCTCCCAATTGTGCTTGGCTGGGTTCTTGGTTCAGCACCAGCTGTGGCTTCATGGTTGGGGAGGTGCAGTGGCAATTGTCTATCGGGATACCATTACAGGGCCTTCATCCAACAAAGTGTTAGATTCAAGTGTTTGTACTTGATGTTGGGTGGCCAGGAGAGGTTGCGTGTTCTCTTTGTATACTGTCCACACTACTGTACGGCAGATGCTCTGCTTGAGCTGGCCAAGGTGGTCTTGGACGCGGCAATGAGGAGCCCAAGGCTTCTGGTCTTGGAGGACTTTAATATTCACACCGAGGCTGTCCAGTGTGGTCCAGTTTGAGCTGTTATGGATACTATGACAACCCTAGGGTTATCCCAAGAAATAACTGCACCCACGCATGTTGCGGGTCATACACTCGATCTGGTCTTTTGCACAAAGGGTATTAGAGTTCTTGAGATAAGGGATGTGATTTCGCTCCCTTTGTCATGGACCAATCACTATGGGTACATCGAGACTACATGCCTCTGGTGACAGAGGCATGTAGATTAGACTGCGCGGCATAGGAAAATGAAGCAGCGATTTAAATAATCGCTGCTTCATTTAAAATTAAATGGTTGCCACGCTGAGCCGATCAGCTGTTTGTCGGCTCAGCGCAGTAGTCTGGACGCTCCACAGTCGACATCAAAGGCATTTGTTGACCTCCCAGGTATACCTCCAATCATGGTTGGGGGTGGGGAAGCAGAGAAGAGTCATGGCAGGGCCACTTCAAAAATTTCTAAGGTGGCCCCCAGCAAAAAATTATTACCTACCCCACCCTAGTTGGTATATGGAATATTGATGTAGCCCAGGCAGTTGACATGATTGCTCCTAAGCACCCTCTTCAGGCTTACTGATCCAAGTTTGTTCCCTGGTTTTCTGTGGAGTTGATGGTGGCAAAATGATGTGTATGATGGCTAGAATGCTGCTGTAGGAGAACTAGAGCCTAGACCAATTGATTGTGGGTTAGAGCTGAATTGCGAGCCTACTGTATAGCCATCCTGCAGCAAAGAAAAGCTACATTTCCACCAGTATTACACCCACACAATGCCATCCAACAGAACTGTTTCAAGTGGTATGGGATCTTTTTCTATCTGGCACTCGTGACAAAATGGAGCTGCTGTTGGCTGCCCACTGTGATTTGTTTGTGAAGCACTTTGCAGAATAAGATTGCTCGCATCCAGTCTGATTTGGACTCTGGCCGCTATGTAAGTAGGGTACAGAGTGTGTTGAGCGCACCACCAAATCATTTTTCTTTAGAATAGTATCAGCTGTTGCAGACCAAGGATTTGGACAAGGTGCTTGGAGGAGTGCAAGCGACCACATGCTCACTCGACCCCTACCTTTCATGGCTTATTAAATCTAGTGGGGAAGGAATGACTGGTTGGGTCCCAGGGATTAATATGTCTTTTAGATCTGGTACAGTTCCCACCGCCTTCAAAGAGGCGGTGATAAAACCGCTATTTAAGAAGCCATC